CCCCCCGATCCTTTAGCTTTGTTTCACCAAAGTTCTCTTTCTGAGTTCCTCACCGGCTGGTTTCTTGTTTCTCCACCAGGGGAAGGGAACTCTGCTCAGCTTCAGTTTAACTGAAACCTAATAGGATTTTTTTCTCATAAAAAAGAACAAAATATTCCAGAAGTTCTGGTACCGGTCCAGAGGAAGGTTTCTGCATGTTTGTGGGAGGGTGTTAAAGATCCATAGAATTTGGATCAACCTCTGACTCAGGTTTGGTGGAAACATTAAAGGAATAGTACACCCAAAACATGATTAGCCTTCATTTTCTACTCACCCCCATGCTGAACAACACTCTGGAGTACTTTTTTGATATCTCAAATGCATCTGGAGATCTGGGAGGCTTCTTGCTGTCTGCTGACATTCAAATAATGGAGGTCTATGGCGCCCGAGACAGAAAGGTCCATAAAAGTCCACAAAAAACGTGTCAATATTCCTCCATACTGCTCGTCCAATGTATTCCAAGTGTCCTGAGTGGGTAGCGTCCAGAATTTACTCGAAACGAAGTCATTTAGAATGTTTTTATAGCATAAACAGTAGTGTATAGGATTTCCTGAAAGCGCGTTCACGAGTCTAAGGAAACTGCGGCAGACCAAACCAGACGAAAGTGCGCATTCAGCGTCTGCTCTGCCGATAATGCAAGCATAGAAGAAGAAATGTGCTGTTTACCTGTGCAAAGAAAGAAACAACGAAAGAAAAATGTCTGAGGACTTCAGTGTTGAGGAAGAGCATGAGTTCTTTGCCGAGCTGAATGACACGTTTTTTGTGGACTTTTATGGACCTTTCTGTCTCGGGCACCATAGACCTCCATTATTGTCAGCAGACAGCAAGAAGCCTCCCAGATCTCCAGATGCATTTGAGATATCAAAAAAGTACTCCAGAGTGTTGTTCAGCATGGGGGTGAGTAGAAAATGAAGGCTAATCATGTTTTGGGTGTACTATTCCTTTAAGCTGGATTTTCAGAGCTGATGAAATGTCCCGTCTCTCTCTCTCTGTAGGACTGGGACACGACGGAGCAGTTCCTGGCGGTCTCTGATCAGAAGCATGTGGAGAAGAAACCGTACCGGCGTATCCGGCTGGTGATCGGGCTAGCGCTTGGAGCCGGGCTGCTGGCTCTGCTGATCGGACTGCTGGTGTGGGGTTTCCACTGTAAGCTGCTGTGGGGTTCTGGGGAACGGGTCAGGGTTAGGAGCTGCACAGGTTGCAGGTTCTGTCTCAGCAGGAAGTGAGTCAGCAGCTGGGTTTGGTTGGACAACAGCCAGGGATTAGTGCTATGATGCTCTGGCTCGTCGGACCGGTTCTACCGCTTCTCCTTTTACAGACGTCAGGGCGGTACCACGACCTCAGGCTGAAACCGGTCTGCAGGTTTCTGTCCTCATCCACACCCTCCTAGGACTCCTCCTCTGGTTCCTCATTCTTTAGAAGTGGGTTAGATGTTTAACTGCATCCTAAAAACTTCTCATCACTTCCAAAAAAATTAAAAAACAAGCTTGAAGACGTTTCTCTTCGCATCCAGGAAGCTTTTTCAATTCAAAATGTCAGAAATAGAGTTGTAGTGCAGCCTAAGGATTAAACCCCCAGACCAGATATGAGTGGAGTGATTGCTGGCCTGGCTGATTAGGCGACGTCTTCTACAGGGGAAATAAAAGACCTCACCTATTCAGCCTGACCAACTATTCCCTCTAACGCCCCCCCTATCAGAGACATAGACAGGTATGGGGCATTGCAGGCTAACAAAAAAGTCCAAACGACCCCCATTCCAAAGGGGGGGACCCGTTCATCCGTTTCTATTTGCATGTTTTCTAAACTAAAACCAGGCTTTGTTGGGCTGCTGGATAAAACCTGGAACTAAACGCTATTTCTGACATTTTGGATTGAAAAATCTTCCTGGATGGAAGAGAAACGTCTTCAGACTTGGAAACAAAGTCCAGTGGATTGTTTGGAATGACTGACCTGGATGACTGAGAAACTTCACCAGAATATTTTTCATTACTTCTTCAATGAATTAAGAGCAGAACCTGAGTCTGTTTTCAGAACCGTCCACTCTGATTGGTCCTCTGAAGCCAGACTCGTCTCCATGTCCAGCAGAGAGGAAGGGTCTGGAACAGCAGGAGCCCCCTGCTGGACAAACTGCAGAATGGAGTCTTTCATTCAGTCTGGCAGAGAGCAGGGAGGACATAGATCTCACCGGGATGTCATGAGTCGCTGGTTCTGTTGGCACGGCGTCCAGCCAAACATCCCAGACCCTATCAGCTGCTGCATTCACATCCGGCTGAGGTTCTCTTCTGGTCTTTTCTTCAGCTAACCAAGATGTCCAGGTGAAGAAAGTCTACATCGGCTCTGTGGGGATCAGTGGCAAGCCCTTCCTTCCGGAGTATGAGGATCCCAGCAGCCTCCAGTTCAAGAAGCTGGCCAATCAGGTCGACAAGGAGGTGAGAACCAGCGGCGCCTGACCATCGCTTCCTCTGCAGGTGGAGGTGGAACCTTCTGACTCAACTCCTTCTCTTTCAGCTCAGACGGATGTACTCGGAAAACCCTGTCCTGGACAAATACTTCACACGCTGCTCGGTCCAGGCATTCAGGTATGCTGCACATGTTCTCCTCCTAGATCACCAACGCTTCAGAGAAATGTTCTCGGAAGTTTCTCTGATGTTCATGATGAGCGAGAGGACGCTCGATGGTGGTGGGAGATCTTTCCTCCTCTGTTCACGGTGTGTCTCCTGCAGCGATGGAGACGGTGGCCCAGACAGCATCCTGGCATATTACGAGTCAGAGTTTGAACTCCCCGCCTCCCAGGAGGCCTCGCTGAATGAAGCCATCCAGTCCCTGGAGCCGTCGGCAGGAAGTCAGCATGCCCAGCGGGGACGACAGATCCAGAGACCCACCGAATCTCTGACCCTCAGGAGCGTCTCCTCTCAAGGTTTGAGCCTTTATTCCATAAAAAGAAGTTAAAATCAATCCACCGAACTTTGTTTCCGAGTTTGAAACCGTTTCTCTTCCATCCAGGAAGATTTTTCAATTCAAAATGTCAGAAATAGTGTCGAGTTCCAGGCTTTACCGAGTAACAAAAGCTTGTTTCGTCTTAGAAAACATGCAAATTGAACCAGAGGAAGAGGTCCACTCCTTAGGAATGCCTACAATACCCGATACTGGGCTATGCCTCTGAAAGAGGGTCGTTAGGGGCAATTGTTAGCTTGGCAGGCTAACAAAGAATCCCAAATGACTGCCCGTTCCTAAGGGGCGATCCCGTTCTTCTGGTTCATTTTGTACGTTAGTGGCTACTCTGTAAAGCTTGGAACTCAACGTTAAATCTGCCATTTTGAATTGAAAAAGCTTCCTGGATGGGAAGTGAAGTGTCTTCAAACTTCAAAGTCGAGGAGATGACTATGACCTGGATGTACAGGTGTAACGTTCTGAAGGACAGGTGTGGACATGTCCCCGCCAGTAATCTCTGCTTTTTCTCCCCTTTCTGCTCATTTACTTTAGCCAAAGGTAACTGAGGTTGGGTGTAGCTAACTTTATTCAGAGCGTTTTGAGTGCGTTTTTTTTTTTTTCTTCGACTGTGCTCCCTTGTTCCGCCTCTCGGTGTGACATCATCGGATCTGTCGCTTTCAGACTTCTGATTTGCGCACAAAGTAGCTACATGTTTAAGAAAAAGTTAGTAGATGGGTTGGTTGGAAATAATAGACTCCACCGAAAACTTAGTTTGTTAGAAATACGGAGCTTTTTCAGCCAAAAATGTCAACAGGTTGTAAGTTTATTCTAGTTAGTATTATAATGCAAGAAGCTTGAGAAAATATAGTTTAAATGTTGTGTTCTTCTTTATTAGTTTAATAAATCTTGGCTTCTCAGAGGACCAGGACTCCCAGTTACAGGTTAAAATTAACACATTTTCTTATTGTCCAGATAGAATCAGACTGCAGAGCTTCAACAGATCTTGAAATGTTGTTTCTGGTTTTATTATATTAGTAAAGAGGTTCATTAATCTTTTTTTAAACAGAGCAAAGAGAGAAGCAGTGAGAGCTGCAGATTTATAGGTGAAACAGATTTACTGGGATATGCAACATGCAATAGAATATATCTCCAAGTTTACCAGAAAGTTTACAAGGAAAAAAAAAGCTATATCTAAAATGCAGCATATTCATTTTTTCTGGATGGATGGAATTGAAATTGTATTTCTAGGGATGCATGATTTATTGATTTTGGCATCAGAACCGGCTGTTATTTATTTTTTTATACATTAATGTTTTTGGGCCCTATATTTATATACATATAATGCACTATATGGCATCTCTTTAACTGATATTCATAAATATCAGTGTTTATTGTTTATGCTTCTCTTATGTTCTCAACAACAGGAAAGCATTCAATAAACATGTTTGAGCTCATTTTTGGAAAATATAAAAACCTAATGGAAGCGTGGAGTAACTGTAGCTCCATCAGCCCCCACCCTTAGAGCCCCCCACCCTTAGAGCGCCCCCACCCTTAGAGCGCCCCCACCCTTAGAGCATCACCAACTTTCATTACAAAGTTCGCCTGGATGACTGAGAATCTCCAGCAGCACTTTGAACCTTCATGTTATTCTGCTCAGATCTGGACCAGACTGGATGGTTCTTACTAAACTAACCGGTTGTTACACGGCTGTTCTACCGGAGCCTCAGGGCAGAACCACGCTGGGCGCTCATCCAGCTGGATGATCTTCACCCAGGAGTGTTAGGTTCAAAAATGTAGGTTCGTAAAACAGGAACTGAGTCTACACAGAAGAGGGATTTTTTAACGGCTTCTGCAGAAGGAGAGAGCTACATTCAGCTACATCTACTCTCTGATGGACTTCCTCTGCAGAGCCTTTTTATTAGCAGATCATAACACATAGGGTGGGTTACAAAATAGAGCGTTCTTCTGACAAGGCAAGTGATCAGGAGGTCGTAGGACAAAATGCTCCTCTGATTGAATCCCAGAATAGATTGGTCTCCTGATAACTGTGATTAGCTTTGCACAAACATCAGCAGTTTTCTACCACCGTTGCATGACAGTTTGCCGTAAACAGAGTGAAGCATCTCATTTCTCCAATGTTTCATTAACTTTATAATCATCACTGAATAAACCTAACAAGGAGTTCCTCAGATTTTATTTCCTGCCGCTTTTTCAAACAAAAACATAAAAAAAAAAAGATGTGATGGGATCCAGAACCTGATCTGGGCCCCAGGTTAAGGTCCACCAGATAGAAGCAAACCGCACCGAAGCGGTTCCTGATAGTCAGAGAAGGAAGTTATTGGCATGACTGCAGGAACTTCCTGAAACCGTTGGTGACCTTTAGAGCTGCTTCTGGTTCTCCATCCTGCAGCCGCCATCAACCACCTGGAAGTTTAATGCCATGAAGAACCGGAGCACAGGAGATGGAGGAGCTTGATTAGGGACGGCTCTGCATTCCTGTACCTCTGAGATAATTCTGCTGTCCTTGCTGGTAAAACTGGGATTCTCCTCTCCAACGAGCAGCTGATGCTCTCCTCATGGCTCACACAGGTGTTTGAACCAATCAGTTCAACAGAGTACATTATATAGGTAGACGTATCAATGGATGCTGTTTTTATTTTGTTTTTTATTCTTTATTTCGAACATGCAAGAGAAAAACAACAAACAAGGTACCCTTCTTTCCTAAATAATATACCTCCATTACATGTACGAAAAGGAGTAGGAAGAAGTAAAACTTATGTACTCCTACCCCTTTAATTCTTGTATTTCTTTAATTTACAATATTTATAATTATGTTGCTATATATATCCATATAAATACATACCTACCTACACATATACATACATAAATATGTATACACATATACCATCATACATATATACAAATTAACAAAACAAAAAACTCAAACAAAACTTAAAACTAGGGATGCACGATATTGGGATTTTGGCCGATATCCGATATGCCGATATTTTAAAACTCATGTAGCCGATAACCGATATCGATACCGATGTTAAAGCTGGACAAAAATAAGTAGTCATTGAAAATAGCAGTTTTGTTATCCATTTCTGACACTTTGAAAAATAATATACCAAATATATTTTCATATGCTGATATCAAATAGATTTTTAAAAACGCGGTATCGATCTATTTTACTTTCAAAATCTGGTGAAATTTCATCGTTCTGTTACAAACTCTCGTGATATTTTGCAAATTCTTGTGAGATTTTGTTAGTAAAATAGATCGATACTGCGTCAATATATCAACATATAAAAATGTGGCAACATTTGGTGAATTTTCGGGGGATTTCGTAGCATAACGATGACATATAGCAATATTTCATTAGTAAAAGAGATTTATATGGTGTTTTTAAATGGCAATATATCAGCATATGAAGATATTGTGATATTTTAATGTATCAATATTTTTTCCCTCGTCTTTAGAAGTTTTTAAGTCTGTAAAAAAGAAGTTTTTGAGGAAGAAGAAGAAGTAGTATTTTATTTTTTTTTTAGACTTTAGAAACTCAGAAGCTGATCAAATATCGGGTCAAATATCGGTGGGGGGGGCCGATGTCCGATATTCAGTTTTAAGGCCGATACCGATAGGGGGCCGATTATATCCTGCATCCCTACTTTCTACAATGCTTCCCTATACCTTTTGAAAATAATTTATTTGTTGGCAGCGTGGCTGACATGCCTAGAAGGCGGCCATCTTGGATCAGACCACAGTTCAGACAGCTGCTGTCAGAAAGAATAGGAAGCGCCTTAGATCTCATTTTAATCACATGAAAGACGAGTCAAGATAATATTACGATATCTAGTGTCTAACAACCCCTTAAAAGACCAGGTTCAGCACTGGACAGGCCCTGTCCAGTGCTGAACTTGGTTAGATTACACATATTTATTCAGATGAAAAACTATTTAAACTGAACTCAAATTGGATGAGATGTTTGCAAAGTTATATATTTTGCAATTAAATATTAATATGATAAACAAAATGTTTTGTATAAATATATCATAAGATTATGTTTTAGAAATATTATATATTTATATAGTATATTATTATAATTCAGTATTTTAAAGGATTGCTCTTTGATAATGAGTGTTTTGATCTATAGAGTAAACATTGCTGTAATGTGATTTTAAAACAGAGTAAAGTTACTATTTATTTTGTTTATTAATTTTTTGTCATTTTAAAGACTTTTTTTGTCAAATCTTTAAAATACTGAATAATAATAATAATATACTATATAAATATTTGTAAAACCTAATCTTATAATATATTAATATAAAACTTATCATATTAATATTTAATTGCAAAATATAAATCTTTGCATATATCAATCCAGTTTGAGTTCATTTTAAAGAGTTTTTAATCTGAATAAATATGTGTAATCTAACGTTAACTCTCTGTACTCAGCGCTGTCTGCCTGCGGTGGGTGAAGTACTCAACTGTAGTTCTTGAGTGAAAGTATCGATACTCACCATCAAATCTTACTCAACTGCAAGTAAAATATACTTATTCATACTTCCACTCAAGTTAAAATGTTGAAATACTCACGTTTAACAGTACATTTCTGCTGTATTCATGAGTAGAACCATCTGATATAGATTCTACATCACCTGGAAACAACTTCAGCATAAAAATCCCACAAAAAATAAGGACAGGTATTCTGATTATTATTTCTAATTTAAAAGCAAACCAAAAGGAAAACAGAATTATATCGATTCTCCTCATTCTTTCACTATGAAATAGAGCAGCGGTTCCCAACCTTTTTTGCGCCACGGACCGGTTATATGTCAGACAATATTTTCAAGGATCGGCCTTTAAAGTGTGGGGGGGTAAATATGATCGATTAAAATGATCCTGGCTGGCATAAAATCAAATAAAAACAGCATAAAAATAAAACTCACCATTATGTTGAATAAGTGGGAGCCCTGAGCTTGTTTCTCCAAAACAAGCCGGTCCCATGTAGGCGTAACCGGAGACAATGACACGAAGTGAGCTCCTGATGTCCAGTCTGCTCCGTAGCTTTGTTTTGGTCGCCCTAACAGGAAGTAGGATGCAGGTTAGGGTTATAGATAGGATGCGTCTTGACCTGAATTAACCTGTGTCAAGAGGCACAGATGCGCCGACTGATGGAATTTGGAGAGAATACCGCAATTTTTTATATTTTTTTTAAATAAAACATCACTCAGACTCTGATCATCGATAAATTATATAAATATTTTATTCTGTGCGGCCCGGTACCAAATGACCGACGGACCGGTACCGGTCCGCGGCCCGGTGGTTGGGGACCGCTGAAATAGAAGTTTAAGGTTGAATCTATTAGAAACTCTGCTTTGAAACTCATCCTGCTGAATAACTCGGCCGCATGGCAGCAACTAATTATCTAAACCTAAAACTAATACGTTCGCTGTGATTTAATTCATTTTAGCCTTAATAAGTGAAAAAATTAAAACACTAATTTTCGTCGACAGTGTGATGACAATAAAAATAAAATACTGTAAACATTTAGCCTAAAAACCAACATCTGAATGAAGTCTGGTGTTTTTCATGCTAACCATGTTCTACACCTCCAGCAGTTCCTCACCTACATTGTGTTGGTTCTGATCGGCCCGTTTGGCTCCTGTTTGACATCTTTTCTGCTTTTCTTGGCAGCTCTGGATCTGCGGCTAAGCAGGACCAACATAACTGGTGAGAACCTCTCCATACCGGAACAGAACATTGGTTCTGGTTCTTATGAAGTAGGAAATGCAGTGGATTTGGAGTTGAACCTTTAAACCAAACATGATCTGTTTTTTTTTTTAGAGAAAGTGCCGATCAACCTGCATGTCAAGAACAAGAATAAAATCGATTCTCCCGGGTTCCCAGACTCTACTTATCCTCCCAACACGTCCCAGAAGTGGAGCCTTCGGGCCGAACAGGGACACAGAGTCCGTCTGGATTTCCACACCTTGTTCCTGGAGGATGACTGTGAGAAGGACTTCATCCAGATCTACGACTCGCTGCTTCCGATCGAGTCCCAACTCCTCACAGAGTCAGTTCCTCATTTGGTTTTTGGGGGGCCAGCAGGTGTATGACATCACAAGTGGGTGGGGTTAAAGATGATTGTGTTGGTTCTCAGTTTGGTCCCGATTTCCTCGTAGCATCTCTTGATCAAGGCTGAGAGACTCTAGTTGTTATTTTATGGAAGGACGAGTCTGAGGAACTCCTTATCAGCCTTTAGGACACATCTCAGACGAAGCAGAACTGTGTTAAACACAGACTGCAGACGCCAGAGTACAGCAGTAACAGTTTCAGCAAAATACAGTTAGCTTTTCACCAACAATTAGGCTACGTTCGCACCGCAGCCTGAAGTGACCCAAATCCGATTTTTTTACCCCAATGTGACCTGGATCTGATCATTGATTGGCAGTCTGAACACAGATCCGATTTTTTTCCAGGACCACAGAGTCAATTGGCTCTGTGGTCCTGGATCCGATACGAATAAGATCTTTTCAAATGCGAGCTGTGTCTGAGCGGCCATTACTAACCGACATAGATCACTATTCTGCTTCTTGCTGCACAGAATCGGCAAGAAAAACAAACAGCATGGCAGACGATGATGCGGAGAGCAGTATTTTTTTAACCATCTTGAAAAGATTGAGGTTTTAAGGTTTGGAAAGATAGCTAGATGCGCTCCAGAACTACATCGAGTTTACTTCATTTCAATTCTATTCAGTGTATTTCTATAGCTCCAATTCACATCATGTCATCTCAGGTCACTTTCCAGTTCACCAGATCATCCAGTCAGATTGATTCAAAGTTTTCTATCTAAGGAAAACCAGCTGATTGCATCGACTCATTGACTCTTCAGCAATCCCTCACACTAAGCATGCTTCACTGGAAAAAAATGAATCTAAATAAGTCACCTTTTCTTAAAATAAGTTAATTTTGTTGAATTGCAGAGGTAAGAGATATGCTTTTTTAAGTGCATATTATCCAATTATCTTATTTTAAGAATAAAAGTACTCATTCCATTTGCAGATCATCTTATTTACCTACTCAAATTCAGGGTAAATACACTTAATTTAAGAAATTTTGACTTATTTCAAGATCATTTTTGCAGTGTTGTAGCGACAGTGGAGAGGAAAAACTCCCTTTGAACAGGAAGAAACCTCCAGCAGAACCAGGCTCAGTGTGAGCGGCCATCTGCTGAGGCCCACTGGGGTTCAAGGAGACAGAAGCAGACATAGAAAAAGAAGCATAGATCCAAAAGGCAACTGTCAACCAGCTCCACAGGCGGCCCCGTCCAGGAAACACACAGCCAGGCAGACGAGGCAGCCAACCACAACATAAATTTCAACCAACAGCTAATAACTCCATGCCCGACAGAAATAACCTAGGGGGTCGTTTGGCTTCTTTGTTAGCCTGCAATGCCCCATACCTGTCTATGTCTCTGAAAGGGGGGTCGTTAGAGGGAATTGTTGGCCTGTTCTCCTGTAAAGGTGTTGGGGCTGCGATGATAGTGGGAAGGAATCAACTCTATCGCTGCATTGGAGGTTTTTGAAAGCTGAAATCTGGTTGGTTGAAAGGTTCTTTTTTCTTTCTTAACATGGATGGCTTCCTTCACGTTCCTCTCACCTATCTTCTTTGTCCAAAATGTGAACATTCTGGTCCTCAAATGAAAACCCTCATTCCATGTTTTCTAAACTAAAACCAGGCTTTGTTGGGCTGCTGGATAAAACCTGGAACTAAACGCTATTTCTGACATTTTGAATCGAAAAAATTTCCTCGATAGTATATATATATATATATATATATATATATATAAATATAAATGTCTGTATATCTGGAGCATGTAGCAAAAGTAATTTCGCTCTGGGATTATTAAAGTATGTCTGATTCTGAAACAAAGTCCAGTGGATTGTTTTTGTTAATGTTGATGACCTGGATGACTGAGAATCTTCACCAGCACATTTAGTCCCGTCTAACAGGTGCAGTAACCCTGATCTAGATGTCCCTGAGGCCTGATTTCTCCTCTCTTCCTACAGGCAGTGTGGATACCCCCATGGCTCCCTTTCCTACGTGTCGTCGGGGAACGTCATGCTGGTTCTGCTGGTCACCAACAGTGAGAAGAACTTCCCTGGATTCAGAGCCTACTACTCCCAGATCCCAGCCAACACTGCAGGCAGGAAGATCTGCTTCTGTTTTTGTCAGGTTGCCATTTTGCATTTGGTGTCTGATGTTTGTTCTGCTTCTGTTTCTCAGAATGTGGAGGAAAGCTGCTGGGAGAGAGAGGAAACTTCTCTTCGTCATTATTTCCTGTGAACTATCCTCCTAAAGCCGTCTGTACCTGGGAGATCCAGGTAGGTTTAAATGGCTCCAGTTTAAGTAGCAGGAAAGGTTCTGCTTATAGTGGAGCTCTGTTTGATCCAGGTATGTTAAAGTCTAACAGATTGGAAGGAACCATTTCACACTTGGTGGGTGGAGATTGAAAATGGATTTCATGTATTTGTATCCTAGCCGTAGTGCAGTTGTTATATTGAAGTTATTTCATATTTATCTAAAGAGCTTTCGGTCTTTCATAGACTATATTCCCAAAAGTTTCCCAAATCTAAAGGGGAAATGAAATTAGTCTGAAGGTTACATGAAGTTTAACGTCGCTCCATCAGTTGGCCGACCGCTTCCTGGCTGAGTTCTGTTTCCTGATGAAAGCATTAAAATTCAACTGCAAAAAAGTTTTAAAAAACAATCCGCTGGACTTTTTTTTCCAAGTTTGCAGACGTTTCGCTTCCCATCCAGGAAGTTTAGCGTTTAGTTCCAGGTTTTATCCAGCAGCCCATCAAAGCCTTGATTTTGCTTGCCCCATACCTGTCTATGTCTCTGAAAGGGGGGTCGTTAAATGAGATCAGGAGGTCAGAAGAAAGAACCCTAACTACCCCCATTCAAAGGGGATGGACACGTTCGTCCGTTTCAATTTGCAGGTTTTCTTAACAAAAACTAAGCTTTGTTGGGCTGCTTTATAAAGCAGGATCTAAAATTTAAATTTAAAAATCAGTTGGGTCCTAATAAAGAAAATCATCAACCAGTAAAGCTCCGGAGACATTTTTAATTATAATCTGTTACTTTAAACAGCATTTAACAATGATATAAAATGAATTTTTATGCATCCATGTTACTTATTGAGTTTTAAATAACAAAATATGAAAAAAATAATTTTTCCATTTTAAAATCTAAAGTGTTTTTTGAAGTAGAGAACATTAATCGCCCGGCTTGCCACAGGTTTGCCTGCTGTGTCTAAAAGTAGCAGCAGCAGCAACCCAGACTGACAGCTCATTGGCTCATTTGGATCACGTGCAGCCTGGAGCCGGACGCTCCCCAGGGCTTTACCGTATTAACAGGAGAAGAGGCGCAAGTGAAGTTAGACACTGTCGTTGCGCAAAATGCGATAATTTATAAATATTTTAAATCAGGATGGGCCCGGATTAGCCAGCAGGTGGGTCTAAGTCCGGACCGCGGTCCACTAACCCGTGAACTCTGGTATAAAACCTGGAACTAAACGCTATTTCTGACATTTTGAATTGATAAAAGCTTCCTGGATGGAAGAGAAACGTCTTCAAACTTGGAAACAAAATCCAAAAACTGACTGATTATGAACATGTTAAACAATTACATATATTTTTCAGATCTATGGAAATACTTTTGGAAGTATTTGCAGTTAGGACAACATTCCCATCCTTATCTTTTGCTCATTTAAAATCCTGGGATCTTATTTCAGAAAGGACTGGGTTTGATTTTCAGGTTCCTCAAGACAAGTTTGTGAAGGTCGAGTTCAAAAAGTTTGAAGTTGGGAAAGATGGAGCAACTTGTGTCGGTGATTATGTGGAGATCGAAGATCAGAGGTAAGAATATTTATTCATTTTTTTAACCACAACTGCAGGAAGAAGATTAAACGATGATGACAATGTTACAAACTAGGATTTAACTTCCTTTTATTGTTTTATTTAAAAGATATTTCCTCCATCCTCAGCTCTTTTGCCTGGAAGTATTTTTTATTCAATAATAACATTCAAAAATGTTTTCTATCTAAGGAAAACCAGTTGCATCGACTCATTGACTCAAAAAAACAATACTTTTATACCATGCATGCTTGTAGCGACAGTGGAGAGGAAAAACTTTTTTACACTGAAAAAAAAAATCGAGATCTAGATAAGACATTTTTTCTTAAAATAAGTGCATTTGTTCTTGGATTGAGGAGGTAAAATAAACATTTTGCAGATGGAACAAGACAATTTACACTTAAAATAAGAAAAACACATTTCATTTGCATGTTATATAATTATCTTATTTTAAGATTAAAAACACTAATTCCATTGGCAAACTACCTCATTTACCTGCTCAAATTAAGGGTAAATACATTTAATTTAAGACATTTTTACATATTTCTTGATGGTTTTTCCAGTGTAGCAGGAAAAAGCCTCCAGTAGTTAAATAAAACATCAGACTCTGACTAGTTTGGCCTTTTCCTGTGAGAAGCTCACTGTGGAGCAACCAAAGAACCTGATTGGATCCTATGTCTGTGTCGAAGGTTGTGTGGAAACAGGTTAGAAAGCAACGTGTTTACCAGCGAGAGCAACAAGATGACCATCAGGTTCCAGTCCGACACGTCGCTCGTCTATCAGGGATTCACCGCGTACTACGAAGCCTTCATCCCGACCAATCGTAAGGCGGATATTTTCGCTAAATCAAACAGTTTTCCAGAGAGATGGAGCCGTTTATGTTCAGTGTGTGACGTTGTTGACAGCTTGTCCCGGCAAGTTCAAGTGCAGCAACAACATGTGCATCATCAGCGATCGGAAATGTGACGGCTACAACGACTGTGGAGACAACAGTGACGAGATCAACTGCAGTGAGTCCAATTAAGATGCTATTAATGAATACATCTAAACTGGATTGATCACATAATGATTGTTTGATAACCAGCCTCTTCCTCTGGTATCAAGAGAATAAATGAAGGGCTAAATATTTTTTTATAATATTCTGAGATAAAAAAAAGTACATTATTGTTATATTTGAACTATTTCATTGTTGCAGCTTTATTAGATACGGACTGAATAAACACAAATATTTTTATTAAACATTTTCAAACTAAATTATAGGAATAGCAAAGCAAACTATTAGGTTTTAGAAACAAAATTATGAAGAATAAAATATTTGAAACTAAAATTTAAAGAGAGGGTATGTTGTTCTGAAATATTGTCAGGTTAGGTCCTGGGGGCCCCATAAAACTCTGTTTCCATGTATAATTAATACAATTATTCCTTATTTGTGCACATTAATTATGTTTTTGATCAAAATCCTTTGGCTAAAATGCCATCAGAACGCTGATAATATTAAGTGTGTCTCAGCCCCCCCTTCAGTGTCCACCATATTGGATCAGTCCATTTGCTGCACATGTTCAGAAAGGTCCAATCAGACAGCAGCAAACCATTTGAAAACAAACCATGCAAAGAGCAGTGTTGCCAACTTAGCGCTTTAGTCGCTATATTTAGCCACTTTTCAGACCCCTCTAGCACTTTGATTTCTAAAAAGCTCCTAGCGCCAAATCTAGAGACTTTTTTCTGCTACTGGAGACTTTGGAGACAACATCTAAAAGCAGCGAACTCTGCTCTCCAGAGCGAGTAGATTGGTAACCCCGCCTCCTGCTCTCCTGTATCTTGTCTGCTGTCATGATTCATGCAGCTATTATTTCATCCAAATGAAAAATGGAGAACAGATAAGCAGATCATGGCTTGTCTACAGTGAAAAGAAGGACTGGGTTATTTACTTTGGCCTTTTTGGAAACACAGGAAGGAGCAATCAGCTAAGTGAGCTTAGTGCTTGGAAAAAATCTTTCATTCCTTTAGAGACAGCATGAAAAGTCAGCTGAGTACAAAACATAGAGAGGAAAACAAGAAGAAAAGGGACAAGAAGAGAGGGACACAACCTAGAACAGATAATGGATGTCTATTCTATTAACATTTCTCTATCTGGAGAACGGGGCTGTTCTATGTGTTGTCTTCTCCATTCAGAGGGGCCCCTGCCTGTCTTTGCATAGGGCCCCACATTTCTTAAATCCTCCCCTGTGACAGGGGGTGGGTTAAATACAGAGAGTAAATTTCATTTCTCTGTACTTGTGACAATAAAAGTAAATATTAATAAACTCTTCATATCAGCCAGAAATAACCAATGTTTTAACTAAATTCTTTCATGTCCTCCCATTTGAATAAATGCTTGATAAGTGATTAAATATCTGAATTACTGCTGGTTTTCTGTCGCAGAGTGCGACGTCACGCAGATGATGTGTAAAAACAATCTCTGTAAGTCAAAGGCGTGGAAGTGTGACGGCGTGGACGACTGTGGGGATAACTCTGATGAAGAAGGCTGTGGTGAGTTCTGGAACATTCTGCAGAACCTCCTCCTTCCAACGGGAACTGCTTCAGTAAAGCAACGATGATGGCTTCATGCTGGAGTTACTCTGATGGCTTCATGATGTTTTTCCTCCTCATAGAATGTAAAAAAGAGCAGTTTTCCTGCAGAAACGGACGCTGCATCGCAGAGGACCTGAAGTGCAACGGCAAAAACGACTGTGGCGACGGTTCTGATGAGTCCAAGTGTGAAAAATGTAAGAAACTCAGATGGACGTCACCAGATCCAGAGGAGATCAGCAGAGCGGCGTTCTGTCAGATGAGCATACCCCATCAGACCAGCATACCTACAATCAACACGCATCCACAAGACGTCAGATTTGCTTTTAAACCTTTAGTTTTGTATGAAAAATAGACTTTAAACTACGTAAAGGGCGTGATTCTACGGAAGAGGATTAGGGCCACTGAAGAAATGAAAAAAAGTTAACTGATTTTTTAATATTATTTCAGTTTAATTTGGGGAAAAATACTTTTTTTCTCAGAATTCTGACTTTTTTCTCATATTATACTGAAATAATAAACTTTTTTCCTTTTTTTTCCAGTGGCCCTAATCCTCTTCCATATGTATCCCTTTAGTCATGTACAGAAAAAACAATTTAAGGTCAGATCGACATACGTGTCAAAAAACACCAAAAAGTAAGTAATTAAATTGTTTTTTTGGTACAAAACTAGAGGGATAAACGTGTATTGACTGTGCTGGTCTGACCGGGTATGCAGGGGGCTGCTCCTGGTTAAGCCGCATCGTTAAATCAGACGTTTCTTTAGGGACGTTTGTCTCATGGCTGACTTGTCTCCTTCAGCTCTGATGCTTAAGTGCTCAGCCACCACCTACCGCTGCAAGAACGGCCGCTGCATCAGCAAAGCCAACCCCGAGTGTGACGGGCAGACGGACTGTTCGGACGGCTCTGATGAGGAGAACTGCAGTGGGTTCAGCACACACACACACACATTCTCATCTCGCTATATGTAGCGAGGACCGTGTGATGATTCCCGTTCATTTTTAACCCTTTTCATGCCCTAATCTAAACCGTAAGCCGGTCGGACACTGTACGATTTTTTTGCCCTTTTCGGGCCGATTCTCCAGTTGTGGGAGAATTTTATAATCGGGCCGACTTTCAGCCTGATGGTGCGTGGCGTAGTGACCAGGGGGTAACGAGGGGCGATCAGCCTCTAACGACAACCTCCCCATCAGGAATAGTAAGGTCGGGAGAAAATCAGACATGTTTGAAATTCTGTCGGCCGTCGTAAGGTGGCCGTGGGCAAATCGCTTGGTGGGCAAACAAGGCCCCTTTCTCAATTCACTAGAGTGTGAGTACAAACGTGTTCTCGCCAGATATGTTCCTGAGAAGAATACAGGAAAGCCTGGACTGGGAGAACAGGAGCACGCAGAATAAATATGGATCAATTAGAACAGAAGCGTACTGATGACATCACCACACGCTCAGCTCATCTGGAGCGGCATTTCACCTCCTGTTATTAATGGTGTCTAGGTAATAATAAATTCTAACTTTTTTCATTTATTCGGGTAATAACAGTGAGCACAGTCAGATGAACACAAATAGGCTGTGACTGGGAACGATTCTCGGCCAATCTACATTGACCCACTTATGGACCCCCCCAGCGGTCCTTCACACACGGCTATGCCAAGAGAGAGGGCTGCTACAAACAGGCTAATGTTAGCTCTGCCTGCCGCAGACGGGCTAACCTTAGCTCTACCTGCCGCAGACGGGCTAACCTTAGCTCTGGCTGAAGCAGACGGACTAACCTTAGCTCTGCCTGCCGCAGACGGGCTAACCTTAGCTCTGCCTGCCGCAGACGGGCTAACCTTAGCTCTGCCTGCCGCGGACGGGCTAACCTTAGCTCTGGCTGAAGCAGACGGACTAACCTTAGCTCTGGCTGCAGCGGACGGGATAACCTTAGCTCTGCCTGCCGCAGACGGGCTAACCTTAGCTCTACCTGCCGCAGACGGGCTAACCTTAGCTCTGGCTGAAGCAGACGGACTAACCTTAGCTCTGCCTGCCGCAGACGGGCTAACCTTAGCTCTGCCTGCCGCAGACGGGCTAACCTTAGCTCTGCCTGCCGCGGACGGGCTAACCTTAGCTCTGGCTGAAGCAGACGGACTAACCTTAGCTCTGGCTGCAGCGGACGGGATAACCTTAGCTCTGCCTGCCGCGGACGGGCTAACCTTAGCTCTGGCTGCAGCGGACGGGCTAACCTTAGCTCTGCCTGCCGCGGACGGGCTAACCTTAGCTCTGCCTGCCGCGGACGGGCTAACCTTAGCTCTGGCTGCAGCGGACGGGCTAACCTTAGCTCTGCCTGCCGCGGACGGGCTAACCTTAGCTCTGCCTGCCGCGGACGGGCTAACCTTAGCCTTGGCTGCTGCAAACGGACTAACCTTAGCCCTGGCTGCAGCTGACGGGCTAACCTTAGCCCTGGCTGCAGCTGACGGGCTAACCTTAGCTCTGCCTGCAGCTGACGGGCTAACCTTAGCTCTGCCTGCCGCGGACGGGCTAACCTTAGCCTTGGCTGCTGCAAACGGACTAACCTTAGCCCTGGCTGCAGCTGACGGGCTAACCTTAGCCCTGGCTGCAGCTGACGGGCTAACCTTAGCCTTGGCTGCTGCAAACAGGCTAACCTTAGCCCTGGCTGCTGCAAACAGGCTAACGTTAGCCCTGGCTGCTGCAAACAGGCTAACGTTAGCCCTGGCTGCCACAGACGGGCTAACCTTCCCATCTGCGGTTACCCTCTGAGCTCCGCTGGTTGCCGCAGTCCTCTCAACATCTGAATGAACTTTATTTTAAATGACGCACTAAATCAGTAAATGTTCCATATAGTGACGCTTAAAGTATAATATTCTCCCCTCAGATGATCTAACAACGTACTTTTATTGAACAACAGCAACAGAAAAGAGAACTTTTAACTTAATACTCTGAGCTCTGTGAGCGCTAACCTGGAAGCTGCTGCTGCCGCAGTGCATGCTGGGACAGCTGTCAGTCTGGACATGTCTGCTCAGATGCATACTGGGTAAAGAGGGAGGGGCCAGAACAACATCCGGGGACTTTGTCCTTTGTTGGTCTTCTTGTTCATGTGAATTGGAACAGTGCTAGGGCTGAGGCTGATGACGTTTCACGAGGACACGAGAACGCAGAAGTGAGCTTCATGTTCCTCTTCTATTTGTTTGGTTTCCAGATAGACGAGTCCGAGTAGCGCCATCTCACTGCGGAGTTCCACCTGGTTTTTAGACGTAGAGTTTGAGCAGGTAGATCGCATCAGAGCGTTGGGTTGCACAGTGTGAGGACAAACATCGTGAGCTGTGAACTTTTAAATCCTGCTGTTTCATCGTACAGTTTGAGCTGTAGCTGCGTGCAACAATAAAAAAAAAATCGTACAGTGTATGCCCGACTTAAACTCAATTCTCACCTTAGTCCTAAAGCTAAAGCAAAAAACAGGAAGTGTCTCATTTTGCTAGGAATGGTCCTCACTCCGATGCCATGTTTTTCTCAGATTGTGGCAGGCGGGAGTATCAAAGCTCCCGCATCATCGGCGGTCAGGCATCTCGGAAGGGGGAGTGGCCCTGGCAGGTGAGCCTCCACGCCAGAGGGCAGGGACACACGTGTGGAGCGTCGGTGCTAAACGACTGCTGGCTGCTGACCGCCGCCCACTGCGTCCAGGACGAGTAAGAACCCGGTTAACTGGGGCTCGATGGTTTCAGGCTGAGGGGATGAAGGGGGGGTAATGGAGTTAAACTGGTGATGGTTTGTATCTACGCTAAACCCTGAAAACTCAAACATTGCTACAGAAAAAGGAAATTGATGGTTATGGTGATGATGATGATGAGGATGATGATACTGATGAGGATGCTGATGAGGATGATGATGATCATGATGCTGATGAGGATAATGATGATGATGATGATAATGATGATGATGATGCTGATGAGGATAATGATGATGATGAGGATGATGATGATGATGATGAGGAGGAGGATGTTGTTGATGATGATGAGGATGATGATGATGATGAGGATGATGCTGATGATGATGAGGATAATGATGATGATGATGATAATGATGATGCTGATGAGGATAATGATGATGATGAGGATGATGATGATGAGGAGGAGGAGGATGTTGTTGATGAGGAGGATGATGATGATGATGATGATGATGATGCTGATGAGGATAATGATGATGATGAGGCTGATGATGATGATGCTGATGAGGATAATGATGATGCTGATGCTGATGAGGATGATGAGGATGATAATGATGATGAGGATGATGATGAGGCTGATGATGATGATGAGGAGGATGATTATGATGAGGATGATGATGATGATGAGGATGATGATGATGATGCTGATGAGGATAATGATGATGAGGATGATAATGATGATGAGGATGATAATGATGATGATGCTGATGATGATGATGCTGATGAGGATGATGATGATGATGATGATGATGATGATGATGATGAGGATGATGAGGATGATAATGATGATGATGCTGATGATGATGATGCTGATGAGGATGATGATGATGAGGATGATGAGGATGATGAGGATGATAATAATGATGAGGTTGATGATGAGGATGATGCTGATGCTGATGATGATGCTGATGAGGATAATGAGGATGATGATGATGCTGATGATGATGCTGATGAGGAGGATGCTGATGATGCTGATGAGGATGATAATGATGATGAGGATGATGATGAGGCTGTTGATGATGATGCTGATGAGGATGATGATGATGAGGCTGTTGATGATGCTGATGAGGAGGATGATGATGATGAGGATGATAATGATGATGAGGATGATGATGAGGCTGTTGGTGATGCCTATGATGATGATGATGATGCTGATGATGATGATGCTGATGAGGAGGATGCTGATGAGGAGGATGATGAATTATTTCTCAATAAAAGCTTCAGGATAAAATGAGAGCAGTGTCACTACCCGATCCGTCCTCTGCATGCGCAAACAGAATAATAAGATCCGGATCGCTGAAAAACTACATAATAACTTTACTGAAAATACTTAATTATATTCTTAAAACATTAAAGAATGTTAAACTACATTGTTTAGAAAATATTGAACTGTTTTCTGGGAGAACTGGATACGTTTTTCCCTCTATTGTACTGCGTGACGTCATGATGGGACGTGCTTCCGGGACGGATGGGGTAGTGACCAGCATCGTCATCATAAATTGTTGCTCCTTCTGTAGCAATGTTTGATTTTTCAATGGTTAATTTTTAGTAATTTAGCTTTTCAGTGTTTTAATTAATCTGGGGTGTGATTGGTCTGCAGATCGCTCTCTGATTGGTTGAAAACTGTTAGTGACCTCTGATTAAACACAAACAGTGACTGAGAACCACTGAACTCAGTGATGTCCATCTCCAGTCCTGCAGCTTCTAGATGCATCTTTCTCCAACACGTCTGGATGAGATGCATCTGAACCGAACCTTTGCTGAATCTGATGAGGTAGTCCAGGTGTGTTGCAGAGAGGATGGCCACTCTGTAGGACTGGATTGGGACACCCCAGATTTAAAATTCTCTGAACGAACAAACAGCAGGTGGCGCTGCAGCTTTCTGACCTTGGGTGATGGCTCAGCTGTTTAACGAGTTAATCTGCTGCAGGTACGCTGAGGCCAACCAATGGGAGGCCTTCCTGGGACTCCATGTGCAGGGTCAGACCAATGAGTGGACAGTCACCCGGAGGATCAAACGGATCATCCCCCATGAGGATTACAACACTTTAAGCTTTGATAATGACATTGCCCTGATGGAGCTGGACTCCAGCGTGACCCTGAACCAGTACATCTGGCCCATCTGTCTGCCGCCTTCCAGCGACGACTTTCCTGCAGGCCAAGAGGCATGGATCACCGGCTGGGGCGCCATGGTGGAAGGAGGTTAGGCCAGGTTAAGCAGAACCTCTGACTGAGACCCAGAGGATGGTTGAAGTTCCAAACTGTCAGGTCTAAGCACCTAAAACATCATACATACATACAGGGAAAGAAAGAAGGCACAGAGACAATTCATTTAGTTACTCGCGAAGAGAGTAGGAAGAGACTGCAGAGTTTACAAATCTCCACCCCTATCTGCTAGTCTTCAGCTTTCTCCTCGCTATTTATTAAAGTCAGGGGATGTCCCTAATTACACGAACTGAGGTTTAACTAAGGGGAAGGGAAACAAAAGAATCTTACTTTAAGCCTCAGCACATATGTTAAAATAAAGCATGTGGTTGTTTTACAATTGAATTGTTCCAAGAACACATGTTTAGAAGAAACATGTGATAGAGGATGTTCAGGCCTCTTTCACAACCCGTCCGTTGCATCACCTTTATCTGGAATGATCTTAAGCAAGAGTTAAAAAAAGAAGAATCAAACATTATACATCATAATAGTTCATTGGAACACAACCCATGAAACACAAACGGAGTATGAATAAAATATTTCTAACACAAACAGGACCTGAAATATTGATCACAACGAGGAAGAGGGGTTGTAGTTTCGGAGAAAGATTTGTTCAATGCTAGAATCGCAAGAATCCATTGTCTCAGCGGGGTGGAGGTCTGACAGGAGGACCCAAATGCAGACTGAAGCTGAAGGAGGTTACATGAAGATAGCGATGGGTCCATTAACCCCGATGCGTCGGTGCATGCGTGGAGCCCATAGAGCAAAACTCTGGATCGGTGCGCGTGTCGTTTTAAGGAAGTCATGTGACCGATACAGGAGTTGTTTCTAACTGACTGACTCACTTAACTGGGTTTAAGAACGTATCTCTCAACATGATGCATCTGCTAAAAAAAATGTCTCATCTTTTGCAGTTTATCATTAAAATGATCCTGAATTTTGGAGCCTTTAGGAACGTTTCAGTCGTTGCGTTTTTATTTTAATTTTCTCGTAGTATCCTTTTCCTCTCAGTTATCACTCAACTTAATTGAATTAAACTTAATTTCAAATTGACTTTTAGTTTATTTTCCTGTTTTTACTGTACTTATTGTTTTAAAATTATGATTTAAAATCCTAGTCCACTAGCATCCTCATTGACATTTTTCCCTAAATTTTCACGTTATGAAATATGTTTATATTTTTTATTGGCTGCATCTAATAATATCAATGATATTTTCAATTTAAACATAGATATGAAATAATACAATATAACCTTCAATAACCTCAATGATATCATTGTACTGGGTCATCAGGTCAATTCAGTTCAGTCAAATAACTGCCTGTAGTGTCTTTAAATGTCCAGCAGGTGTCAGTATTCTGTGACACAGTATCAATAAAGGATCAATACAGTTTGGCAATGAAACACTCCAAGATGCCTCATTAACCCATCACTGCTTGAAGATTTATCATCCAAAAAAGATCAACAGAAGCAAAAATCCAAAAACATAAATCCACAAAATGCTCACAACAAGAAGGCGAAGAACTGACGACAAACCAGCAACAGTGACTGAGCAGGAGGTGCATATATGGGAGAGAGAATCAAAGCAGATCAGATTGGGAGCAGCTGTGAACAGAGGACACTAGAAGGGAGCGAGGTGAAGAGACTGACACAAGAGGGCGACAGAGGGCAAACTAGAAATACCTAAGAACTCAAAAACATCCAGAAAACACAACAAAATAGGAATGAATCCCATAAAACTAGAAAACAAAGAAAAAATGGATCAAAGGGAAACTGAAAACTCAAACGGAACCAAAACCGTGAAATCCATTAGATTCACAAGATTCATAAGAGCCATTTTGTTCACAAGATCAGAAAGATTCATAAAGCCAGCAATGTCCACAAGATGCATATGGTCCATAGGACTCAAAATATCCAAATGGTTAAGATCTATAAGAACCATGCATCCATCTTGTGGATAGTTGAACTTATGAAAATCCAACAGATCAATGAGGTCCATCATTTCAATTAATTTCATTTTTAAAGCGCTAATTCACAACACGCCATCTCAAGGCACTTTCCAGAGACAATTCGATCAGGTGATACAGCCTTGTAAAGATGTTCCTATCTAAAGAAATCAGCTAATTGCATCAAGTCATTGACTTTACAGGATTCATTTCTCAGCAGCACAGCTGATATTTCTCTCCAGGATGGAGTCACAGCCAAACAGGAACAGACCAGATGAAGCTACTATGAGAAAAAGCAGAGAGAGCAGAACGTTAGAGATTGAACTAACAGATTCTGCAGAGTGGGAGAATAGAGATAGAATGATGAAAAAGGGGTCCCTATGTCCTCCAGCAGTCTAAGCCTATAGCAGCAGAACTATAGAGATAGAATGATGAAAAAGAGGAAAAAGGGGTCCCTATGTCCTCCAGCAGTCTAAGCCTATAGCAGCATAGGGTCAACAATATTCATAATATCCATGCTGTCTGTGAGCTAAACAAGATCCATATGATCCAGTTATCAAAAAACATCCAAAGTCTTATATTAACAGAGAGATCTGTGCTTTTATTTTAAGCTGCATTTATTAATCCTGGCAGGGGGGAATTGATACAGTCTTTGCCAATATTCTGTCTGTTCTGGAGAGACAAAGGATTACACTAAGTACCTAAGAACCACAAGCAAAAACTGACACACAGCTTAATTAAACAACGCACGGCGTGCTGTGGTGGTGCTGTGGTTAGCGCACACAACCCATGTATGGAGGCTTTAGTCCTTGATGCGGGCGACCCGGGTTCGAACCCAAACTGTGGTCCTACCGTCTTACCTGCCAGCCCACTGTCCGTAAAAACAAGCCACTAGTGCCGTAAAAAATAAACAATGCAGACAGTTTTCCACAAATAGAAGGATTGTTTAAATAACAGTGAGTAGAAAGATCCTGGCTCCATACCCAAACCATCTAACTCTGAATACAGCTTTAAGGCGTCAGTAAGAGGAGATTACATCTAGCTTTGTCTAGCAGGTGTTCTGCTTATGCGAGTCATTTTGTGCAAAAAGGAAGCAAAACATTCAGGTTATTAACTAGACACAAAAAAGGAATAAAGTTTAGCACATTTTTCCCAACAGAGTTCCTCCTCTTTACCATAAAAGGAACTTGTTAATTATGTGGTCAGCAACAGACAACGGAAAATTCATGAATCTATGTAAAGTCAAGATCTTAGCTTAAAAAGTTAACATAGTTTCCTCCCAGTCGTCCCAGTAAAAGGCTAAAGAAAATGCAATCCTGAAACAAACTTGTGGAAAAGCTTAGAAATGCTTAAACAAACAATGATTGACGATTAATAATGTTAACAAGCTAAGAAAAGTTGAAAGTGTTTTAAGGCCTAATTCTATTCAGTTTATTTCTATAGCTCCAATTCACATCATGTCATCTCAGGTCACTTTCCAGTTCACCAGATCATCCAGTCAGATTGATTCAAAGTTTTCTATCTAAGGAAAACCAGCTGATTGCATCGACTCATTGACTCTTCAGCAATCGCTCACACTAAGCATGCTTGTAGCGACAGTGGAGAGGAAAAACTCCCTTTGAACAGGAAGAAACCTCCAGCAGAACCAGGCTCAGTGTGAGCGGCCATCTGCTGAGACAAAGGCCCCTGGATGTTGTTCTGGCCCCTCCCTCTTTACCCAGCATGCATCAGAGCAGACTTGTCTGTTCTCCAGACTGACAGCTGTCCCAGCATGCACTGCGGCAGCAGCTTCCAGGTTAGCGCTCACAGAGCTCAGAATATTAAGTTAAAAGTTCTCTTTTCTGTTGCTGTTGTTCAATAAAAGTACATTTTAAGATAATTTGAGGCGAGAACATTAGACCTTAAGCTTCACTATATGGAACATTTAGTGATTTAGTGCGTAATTTAATAAAAAGTTAAAAGCTAACCGCAGCAGCTACGGCTAACGTCTCAAACCCCTAGTTAGCATCAGCAGAAAGCCCGGTTCTGGTTCTGTTGGAGGTTTCTTCCTCTTAAAAGGGAGTTTTTCTCTCCACTGTTGCCACATCCATGCTTATTATAACAGATTTCTACAGAGTCAATAAAAAAAGGCAGCAATTGTCAACTGTCTCTACTACCATAAATCACCTCTTAAAGTGACCTGAAACGACCTGTTTGGTGCTAAAAACAAATTAAACTGAAATGAAGGATAGAGCTGATCCGTTTCTGTGTCCTCCAGGTTCCAGTGCTAAGATCCTGCAGAAGGCGATGGTCCGGATCATCAACCACACGACGTGCAAGAATCTGCTGCAGGATGATGTCACAGACAGGATGCTGTGCGCCGGGATCCTGGACGGCGGCGTGGACGCCTGTCAGGTAAGGAGAACCTGAGCTCCTCTGCAGAGGAGGGTTTTTTTTTCCGTCAAAGATGACGACAATTAAATTATTTTGTTGATTCTCCATTTTTCATGACGTTAACGAAAACTGACGAGCTAAATGTGGATCTTTGATGACTAACCATGACGAGTCATGGGTTTGAGGTTTAGTTGACGAGACTAAATGAAAATTATCGGGTCGTCTGTCAGACGTTTAAACTGCATCGGCGTGCTGTAATCAGCTAAGCAGCATCAGCCGAGCTGCTGCCTCCTGGTCAACCTATTCTCATGAGTGCGTATGAAATCGTACGAAAAGTTATGCACCGTAATTTCGTACGCTTTGGACGTTTTTTTCGTCGTATGCGCATCTGATTCACGAATATAGAATATAAATTACAATTAGCCCTGACCCTAAGATATAAAACAGCAAGCAACGTAGTTAGAGACATGAATAAGTGATGATTGCTCCGTTTTTCCCAGTTTTACGTCCGTCAGCGGATCTGTTTTTTTTTTTCTGTCTGCCAGCGCATGCGCACTGAGGACAAACGTCCAAAACGTACGAAATAGTGTGCATAACTTTTCGTACGATTTCATACGCACTCATAATGACAATATGTTGTCCTGGTTGGTCACGCCCACCTGGCGAGCAGCGGTGCTCATTCTGCATGACCACAGGTGGATCATGGCAGCAGCGGCGGGGTAATATGCACTGAACTCTGATCTTCCTGCTGTTCTTTGCATGCGGCGAACCATCAGGGTCTGCGCGTAACTCTCAATTATTAAACCAAATAGATTAATAATTAAATTGGAAACGTGGAGCAACATGAATGGAGCGAGGCGTTACATTCACAGCTGCGATAATTTAACAGCCTGTTAAATATGGCAATCAACGTATATCGGTCACATCATGAATGAATGAATGAATGAATGAATATTTATTTATTTCAGACAATAATATTAGTAACAAAAAAAATAAAATAAATAAATCAAATTAACAAATAATATAAATGAATCAAAAGAACAAATAATAATAAATAGAACAATTCCAATTTCAGAAATGATCAAATAATAACATCATCAGATCAAACGCTGTGTGTCTCAGGGCCATGACATCATTACAGGAAGGAAAAATGTCAGAAAACGCCTTCTTCTGAAAATCTGAGTGAGCCTGGAGTGATTTCTCTAGAGCGGCAGGAAAATTAAGGTGAGCGCAGATTTTAAATGGAGCGTCCTGGAGCAACTTCGAGCGGCGGAGCGAATGAGAGAACATCCTCGTGAGCGGCGAGCAGGAATCACATGGTGCTACGTGCTCTGGTGGCTGATCATCTTCTGCCAAGCATAAAAAATCCTGTTTTTTTTCCTCAGAATATTTTTATTGAATTTTCATTTTAACATACAACATCGCTCACTGTGATGTTTACATCTAGGTCTAGAGTGTACAGAGGGGAAAAAAGTCAGAATGTGAAAGCAACACCACCAAAACCAAACCCCTAACCCATACCAGCAGTAACAGTTATAGTACAGTCGGTCCCTGTTCCTGGATAACACCAAAGACTTAAAACCTAACTGGAATTCAAATTCAACATAGGTAGGAAGGTAGACAGCGAAACATCTTCATCTCAACTTATAGTGATGGAAGTACTTCAAAAAGGGTCCCCACACAGTAAAAAAGTTTTCTACTGAGTTAGTTATTGAGTAACGTATTTTCTCGAGAGAAAGGCATGACATAATATCTTTGAGCCACTGAGCTTGGGTGGGCGGGGCCACATCCTTCCATCTCATCAGAACAGCTCGCCGAGCCAGCAGGGAGGTGAAAGACACAACACGACATTGAGTTGGTGAGAGGCGGGTGCTACCCTCGCCAGTGGTGCCAAAAATAGCAACCAAAGGGTTGGGCTTTAGATCGATCTCAAGAATTATGGACAAAGTCCGGAAGACCTCCCTCCAGAAACCAGGCTTGGGCATGTCCAAAACATGTGAATGAGGGAGGCTTCCCTGATCAAGCATTTATCACAGTGAGGGTCCACATTCGGGTAGATACTTGAAAGTCTAGCTTTTGACCAGTGGGCTCTGTGTACGACCTTAAATTGTAACAAACAGTGACGAGCGCATAGAGATGATGTATTGGTTAGTTTGAGAATAGTTTCCCATTCATTGGTTGACATAAAAAATCCTTTTATCTATCTATAAGGATTTAATTTCTTACAGCTCACAAGCTGTGATACTAAACATTCTTTAATTTCTACCAAAAGGAATCTATAAATTATATCCAAAGATAATGTTCTGTATTCTGTATTTTTGGATAAAGACTGCGATGAAGTTATGATCTAAATGTTTCCTTGTATCGTCATTAAAACATTTTCTCTGTTTCCTTTAAATATTTCAACATTTTAGTAACATATTCATTCAGTTTAGGTTTGGGTTGCCATGGCAATACAAGGCAGTTATGGAGCAGCAGGAACCGAGGGGGAAATTGAAGCAATGAAGCCAAAATATCCAAAGTAGAAAGAAGAATGTTTTTGTTCTTTGCTTTTTGGTAGTAATGCAGATTTTATAGATCTGTGTTTAATGCATAATTCATAGTAGATGAGGAAGTGTTTGCTTTATGATGGACACCTTGGATGTCTAAAATCATTCCTTTATTGGACATTTTGTCAGCTTGTCTGTCTGCTATATTAACCATTAGGATGTGTTCAACTAGATCTGCTATTTTCACAACTTTTGTGACACTTTTGTATAAAATAGATCAGAGGTAACCAATTAAAAATCAGCGGGTCATAATAAAGACAATCATCAACCAGTAAAGATCTGGAGACATTTTTAATTATAATCTGTTACTTTAAACAGAATTTAACACTGAAATAAATTTTGTTTTTTATGCATCCATGTTATACATTCAATTTTTAAATAAAAAATAGAAAAAAAAAAATTTTCCATTTTAAAACCTAAAGTATTTTTTGAAGTAGAGAACAACAATCGTTCAGTTTGGTTTATAGACAGTTTCCTGATTCCCATATTTTCTCAAACCCCTGAACTGAGCGTTTGTTATTTTCTTCTTTTTTCTGTCTTAATGTTGGCAGTGGGCTTTAGGCTGCCCTGCAAGGCTTTAAACCTGGGTTTAACCGGAGACTAAGCCATTCTCAAGCACATATCAAGGAGCTCATTCTGAGCCTGGATCCAGATTTATTGTTGATTCTGTTCATGGTGGAGAATCCTGCTTCACAGCAGCAGGTTGAGCCAAACATCCTCTAAATGTGCAGGGTCATCTTTGAGCACGCCATTTCACTTTTCTTTCACCAGTTCACCGCAGTTCTTCCAGCAGTCCACACTTTCTCTGCTCTCTTTTTCTCATGGTCTTCTCCTTCTTTCCCATCGCCCGGCTTGCCACAGGTTTGCCTGCTGTGTCTAAAAGTAGCAGCAGCAGCAACCCAGACTGACAGCTCATTGGCTCATTGGAACACGCGCAGCCTGGAGCCGGACGCTCCCCAGGGCTTTACCGTATTAACAGGAGAAGGGGAGCAAGTGAAATTAGAAACTGTCATCGTTCAAAATGTGATAATTTATAAATGCTTTAAATCCGTTTGGGTCCAGATTAGCCTGCAAGTGGGTCTGGATCCGGGCCGCGGTCCGCTAATTTGTTCTTAATTCTATAAATGAAAGTTTTCTGCCCAACAGCAATGATGAACTGCACAGCAGCATTCTACAGCCTTCTACAGTTTTAGTCTAAAATGCAACTAAAACTAATAATAGTTTTAGTCCTGACGACTAAAACTTAAATCTAAGACGTCAGAAACAATGCTGCTGCAGAGCCGATAAAGTTTGACCTCACTGTCTCCCCCTGCAGGGCGACTCCGGCGGGCCTCTGACCGTCACCAACCCCAGCGGGCGTGTGTTTGTGGCGGGTTTGGTGAGCTGGGGCCAAGGCTGTGCCCAAAGGAACAAACCTGGCGTCTACACCCGCATGACCAAGTTCCGGAGCTGGATAAAGGAACGCAGCGGAGTTTAACAGAACTTTCCTCATCGTTTGCTGCCTATTTACAATCCAAGCTGCTCCTCTCCCGTCATCCATCTCTACAGTTCCACATGTTCTGTTCCAGCTCCTGTTTCTTTCCTTTAAACTCCAGTGAAAAGAGCTCAGGTCTATAATCCACACAGAACAGCGATGGTGTTAACATACTTCCTGCTACTGATGAACAGTTTTATATAAGGTTAACCAATGACGTTCACCTAAACATAAAATATTTCCCATCTGTGAAGCAGAAACTCTGAAAAACCTTGAAGAAAATCTCCAACTCTTCTGTTGTTTCCTGAAGAGCTTTTGGGTCGTATGCAACTCCATGGTGTTCCTCAGGGACGTGTGTTCGCTCCCTCAGAGATTAACAATACAAAATGTTAAAAAGTGTTTTTTTTTTTTTTTAGATATTACATGAAATGGATGCAGATTAGTAAAATGAGGAGAAACTGCTGGGATCCCGCCGTGGCTGTGCTCTTTCAGGGTGAATGTTTCTTTTTTACAATGGTTGGATTTTAAACTGTGAACAGAACCAACAGAACCGCTGTAGGTACCCGATCTGCTCGGGTCCTGCTTCCTGCCTGTGACGTTACGCTACATGATTGGCTGAACATTGCCACAAGGAGTAAAACATTCTGGTTTCCAAGAAAACAATAACAGCATCAGGCAGCGTCAGTGTGCCGAGTCGGTAGCATCTGCAGCGTTAGCGTGTCTAATGACGGATAAAGTTTTACCTCATCGATAACAAAACTAAAATAAAATATTTTTCTGGTGAACAAAGTAACTGTTAGACTGTGATATAAAGAGCTGGGTAGCGCTGTGGCTAGCTGTGCTTCTTAGCTAACAGGTTAGCCTCTTTTAACCCGGTCAGTTAGCCATATTAAGCTACACTACTTTTAAAGTTTTAGAGAAATCATATTTAAACGTCAAATCATTCTGGCTTAAACATGCATATAAATGTATTCTTTGTCAAAAAATATCGTCCCAAGATTTAGTAAAGTTCTATCTAAAAAAAAAATCCTGTTTTAAAATGTGATTTATTTTGTTATCTTCTGCAGGCCAGTTAGTTCTACGTCAGCCTGAACACCTAAATTCGGCCAATCATATATCAACGGTCATCTGTCAATCAAATTTTTTTGGTCATAGCATCTTGATTCATGTGTCGCAGCTAATATACGCAACGGTTGAAATAAGAAATTAGGATAATTTCCTTTCCCATTGAGTTCCTTCCCAGAAGAGTTCTGGAAGCAAGATGCTTCCGACAAACTGGCCACAACCAAACTTGCTTGCGAACCTTCCGCCACAACAATCCCGCCCCCTTGATAAACGACCAATCACATTCAATCTATTCACTCGTCTAAATTCATGCACCAAAATTCAGAAATGCAACGGCTGGAACAGACGCTTCCCTACCACTTTGAATTGGGGTCAACAAAAAACATTTGTTTTCTACAAGTAAATTAACTTTTCTTTGTCTAAAAATTCCACAAAAGTCATTTACTAAGATGTCTTATTTGTCCTCTGCCCTCAGATAGTAATAAAAACAATAAAAATAAGCTGAGACTTTTTTTGTCACCTTGTTAAATGGCAGAGCTCAGTCTGTCTGTCCTTCCAGACAAACAATGATTGTTTTCTACTTTCGGCTTCTTTAGATTCGCCAATGAAATGTTAAATAATAGCAAAAGTAGGTAATAATATGTTAAGACTCCAAAAGAGATTTGATCTTTAAGAACCGGGTTTAATACAGTCTGTCCAAATGGAGTTGCCATATTTGAAGGGGCGGGGCTCCGAGCAGATCTGGTACCTGGGCAGCAGTTCTCAGTCTCTCTCAGGAAGTTTATTTCCAAGCAGGGAAGGTGAAGGCTAAACTTTGTGTTAATTTTATTAAAGAAATTAAGAACTTTGGGAAACCTGATTGGGTCTTTCTTGTTTTTATATTTCAGGATGTGTTTTATGTCGCGGTTGTTTACAGCTTTGCTTTTATTGTAACGTTGGTCAGTTTTATGTTTTGTTTTTGTGTCTCCTCTGCTGCGCCAGACCTCCTTCCATTGAAGCTGTGATTATGACTATAGATGTAATCCTACCCAGAGAGCTTTGCTCTTCTCGTCTCTTATCTTAAAAAATAAATAAAATAAAAAAAAAATCAGACTTTTTAATCCTTTAAAGCTTCATCAGTCTCTTCTTGAACAAAAACATCACAGATTGCTGCATTTCTACTTTAATCTGAAACAGTCTAGTTTAACTAGACGCAGGATTCCAGCCTTTCTTCCGTATGGGATCCATCAGAGACGACTCTGACCTCAATGGTCCAAAGGGCCCAGAAGCGCTTGGACTTCCTGCGGAGGATGAGGAGAACCCACCTGCAGGTTCTGCAGGAGCTTCTTCCCCACCGCCATCACACTGATGAATTTTGAGAAACTCTACATCACGTCACAGACTCTGCATCACACTGATAACTCCAAACTAAAACACTGCATATTTAAACCATATATATTAATGCTCTGAACTTCCAGATCAATGAGTTTTATTGCACCATGTTTTTTCTTCCACAATGTTTACATTTGATCACTGCTGAACTTTATAGAATGGAAATGTAATTAGAGCTGTGCAAAACCAAATAAATGTTGTCTAAGTCATATTCTGTAGCCAAACTAACCTGAGAAATTTATTCCAATATTATTAAAAGCAAAGAACACAATTCAAAAATTAAAATAAGTAAAGAAAATTCTTTTTAAAATTTGAACATTCTGGGTGTGCCTCAGTTACATAAGCAATGAATAAGCAGCCCACTGAACAATAAATGAACCACTAACGCTGATGAATCCCTTCCTGCTTTCATCGCAGCACGAAACCCCTTTACAGGGGAACGTCCCCCCCTATCAGAGACATAGACAGGTATGGGGCATTGCAGGCTAACAAAGAAGCCAAACGACCCCCATTCCAAAGGGGGGGACCCGTTCATCCGTTTCTATTTGCATGTTTTCTAAACTAAAACCAGGCTTTGTTGGGCTGCTGGATAAAACCTGGAACTAAACGCTATTTCTGACATTTTGAATTGAAAAATTTTCCTGGATGGAAGAGAAACGTCTTCAAACTGGGAAACAAAGTCCAGAGGATTGATTTTTTTAAATTTTTTGGAATAGTGTCAAAAAACCTCAAAAAGAAATAATTTTAGAGACATTTATAAATTGTCTGCAAATGTTTTTTTTATGGTTTAATATTTTTTTTCCAAATGTTATTTTTTTTAATATACATTTTTTCAAACTTCGTTTTTAGTTTTTTATGTTTGAAAAGAGTTTTGCAGATGTGCCCTCTACACGTCTCCACATGGACCAATAGAAACGCTGTTTCTACCATCTGACATCATATCTATTGGTTCCACCAAGAGGTGCAGAGGCTGGAATCTGTCCGATTAAATCTGAAAAAAAAAACACAACTCACTAAAGGAAGTCTCCCAAAACTTTTTTTTCTCTGAAAAACACGTAAAAAAAAAACAGATAAAGTCTAAAGATTTGGGTGAAAAAAGTATTCTAGTAATCTAAATACTAAACTGACTTCTTTACTGAGATTTGATGGATTTTTTTCTGAGATAATTATGTCCTACGATGCAGCATGCCTTCTTCATATAAGGAATTTATTTAGAAAACAGATGCCGAAGGTATTCACTCCCCTGCATCGATGTGAACCCCAGTGACGCCCCACCGTCCATCCGCAGTGTTCAGTATGATGCTGCTCCAACAGATTCAGGAATTGGGGTGGGGTGGTGGAGGGGGGGGGGGGTTACCATTAGGCGAAACTAGGCAGTTTCCTAGGGCCCCCAAGTTCCAGAGGGCCCCTTAAAACTCATTTTACATGTATAGTTAATACAACCATGTCTTATTTGTGCACATTATTTTTTTTTCCATTAAAACACCATCAGAACGCTGATAATAATAAGTGTGTCTCAGCCCCCCCCTTCAGTGTCCGCCATATTGGATCAGTCCATTTGCTGCACATGTTCAGAAAGGTCCAAACAGACAGCAGCAAACCATTTGAAAACAAACCATGCAAAGAGCAGTGTTGCCAACTTAGCGCTTTAGTCGCTATATTTAGCCACTTTTCAGACCCCTCTAGCACTTTGATTTCTAAAAAGCTCCTAGCGCCAAATCTAGAGACTTTTTTCTGCTACTGGAGACTTTGGAGACAACATCTAAAAGCAGCGAACTCTGCTCTCCAGAGCGAGTAGATTGGTAACCCCGCCTCCTGCTCTCCTCTATCTTGTCTGCTGTCATGATTCATGCAGCTATTATTTCATCCAAATGAAAAATGGAGAACAGATAAGCAGATCATGGCTTGTCTACAGTGAAAAGAAGGACTGGGTTATTTACTTTGGCCTTTTTGGAAACACAGGAAGGAGCAATCAGCTAAGTGAGCTTAGTGCTTGGAAAAAATCTTTCATTCCTTTAGAGACAGCATGAAAAGTCAGCTGAGTACAAAACATAGAGAGGAAAACAAGAAGAAAAGGGACAAGAAGAGAGGGACACAACCTAGAACAGATAATGGATGTCTATTCTATTAACATTTCTCTATCTGGAGAATGGGGCTGTTTATGTGTTGTCTTCTCCATTCAGAGGGGCCCCTGCCTGTCTTTGATTAGGGCCCCAAATTTCCTAAATCCACCCCTGCTTCGACCCACAAACGTTCTCCTATAGAACATCCCATGTCTTCTCATCCGGCTCTTTATGGACCTTTCCTGGTTCTGGAGCCCAGCCACGTTCAGACGGGGAAACTTCCTACAATGATTGGATCAGGATGAACAGTAGTGACATCACTGCATGGTTAAAATGAGAATCTTCACCAGAACCAGAATCTTTAAAGTGTGTTTTATTGTCAGAAATCATCTCAGTATAAACATTAGTGTATAAAGTGAGTAATAAATATGACGGCAGGCTGTGGAGAGAATGTGGATTTAGACAGAACCCCCCCCAGCGCCCCCCCCCCCCCCCACCCATCGGTCTCCAGCCTTGGTGAAGAACAGCATCAGACTTTAAATAACATCTAAAGAGCAGCTCTCTGTTCCTGCCAGCAGAGGGCGCTCCAATGAAGGCCCGCCAACATCCTCAGTTGTGATAAAAACAGCTTTCACCTGGTTTCCATCCAGAAGCAGGTAGATAAACATGTGTCCCTGATCATGCGCTTGGTTCTGGAGCGGTTCTGGTCGGCCGCAGTCCAGCTGCTGAGGTGAGAAGGTGTTCGGTCCAAACTACAGTCCTAACGGTCTGGAGCCGAATTAAGCAGCATCCGGTACCAACTGGTTTGGACCGGATCTGGTCAGTGTGACGGTACCAGCTGGTTTGGACCGGATCTGGTAAGTGTGACGGTACAAACTGGTTTGGATCTGATCTGGTCAGCGTGACGGTACCAACTGGTTTGGACCGGATCTGGTCAGCGTGACGGTACCAACTGGTTTGGACCGGATCTGATCAGTGTGACTGTACCAACTGGTTTGGAACAGATCTGATCAGTGTGACGGTACCAACTGGTTTGGAACAGATCTAATCAGTTTGACGGTACCAACTGGTTTGGACCGGATCTGATCAGTGTGACGGTACCAACTGGTTTGGAACAGATCTGATCAGCGTGACGGTACCAACTGGTTTGGAACGAATCTGGTCAGCGTGACGGTACAAACTGGTTTGGACCGGATCTGGTCAGTGTGACGGTACCAACTAGTTTGGATCGGATCTGATCGGATCAACCACCAGGTTGGAACCGGATCTGGTCAGTGTGACGGTGTCAACTGGTTTGGACCGGATCTGATCAGTGTGACGGTACCAACTGGTTTGGACCGGATCTCGAAAGTGTGACGGTACCAACTGGTCTGGAACGGATCTGATCAGTGTGATGGTACCAACTGGTTTGGACCGAATCTGGTCAGTGTGACGGTACAAACTGGTTTGGACCGGATCTGGTCAGTGTGACGGTACCAACTAGTTTGGATCGGATCTGATCGGATCAACCACCAGGTTGGAACCGGCTCTGGTCAGTGTGACGGTACCAACTGGTTTGGACCGGATCTGGTCAGCGTGACAGTACCAACTGGTTTGGACCGGATCTGGTCAGTGTGACGGTACCAACTGGTTTGGACCGGATCTGGTCAGCGTGACAGTACCAACTGGTTTGGACCGGATCTGGTCAGGGTGACGGTACCAACTGGTTTGGACCGGATCTGGTCAGCGTGACGGTACCAACTGGTTTGGACCGGATCTGGTCAGTGTGACGGTACCAACTGGTTTGGACCGGATCTAGTCAGTGTGACGGTACCAACTGGTTTGGACCGGATCTGGTCAGTGTGACGGTACCAACTGGTTTGGACCGGATCTGGTCAGCGTGACAGTACCAACTGGTTTGGACCGGATCTGGTCAGTGTGACGGTACCAACTGGTTTGGACCGGATCTAGTCAGTGTGACGGTACCAACTGGTTTGGACCGGATCTAGTCAGTGTGACGGTACCAACTGGTTTGGACCGGATCTGATCAGTGTGACGGTGCCAACTGGTTTGGACCGGATCTGGTCAGTGTGACGGTGCCAACTGGTTTGGAACGAATCTGGTCAGGGTGACGGTACCAACTGGTTTGGAACAGATCTGATCAGTGTGACGGTACCAACTGGTTTGGCTGGATCTGGTCAGTGTGACGGTACCAACTGGTTTGGACCGGATCTGGTCAGTGTGACGGTGCCCAGCAAGATGTGACGGACCAATCAGAATCCAAATCCATTAATACCTGAAGCTAAAGCGGTAGGGTCGGTGCTGACAGTAACCCCCTCCAGGGGGTGCCTCCCCACCCCCAGCTACCACATGTAGGTCTTGGATGTGTTGATGGGATTCCTCCCGGCCTCCCCCCTCGCTCCCCCCTCCCCATCCTCCTCCTCCTTCTCCTTGTCCTTCTCTGCCTCGCTCTCCCACAGCGTGATCAGAGGAGGGTACAGCTCGTTCAGCGGGATGGACGCGGTGTGCTGCATGTACTTCTTCAGCGAATGGCCGCAGGACTTGTGCTGCTGGACGCGGCGGCCCATGTACACCACCAGCAGCGTCATGATGGACAGGGCGAACATGGAGCCCAGAACGGCGGCCAGCGCCACGCCACCGGGTTGGGACGCCACCAGCTCCACAGAGAATCCCGCCTCCTTGGTGGTGAAGTTCAGGCAGGAGGTGTGGACGGCGGCGGAGGGGAGGGGCGGCGGGGAGGAGGACACGGTGAGGCAGACGTGGTACTGAGTGGCAGGGAGAAGGTGGGTCAGATTGTACTCCTGGACATCAGCTGGAACCTGCAGAGAAGGAAGGATCAGAAAACGCCTCAGATTAACAACTAGGAAACCGAACGTGGACTCGGCGCTTTTATGAAGGTTATTTTGTTTCAAAACCATCTGTGCATTGTCAGTGTGAATTTGGAGTTGTAGAAAGAGTTACAGTCCAAGTTTTGTATTTGTAGAATTAAAAACAAAAATTCCCAATTACACATTTTTTTACACCTGTTCAAGTAAGCAAATTCTGCTCTACAAGTATCACATCAAAAACCTCGCAAATTCTCAGTTTTGCTCCAAATGTTTCACAACTATTGTTGCAAAACTATTTGTGGATTGTCACTTTGGTATTTTGTAAATGTAGATTTTTCTTTATCTGTCACAATTACAAAATAAAGTTACACCTCTTCAAATTCTTGATTACAAGTCAAAAGTGTTTTCCATTGAGTTTTGCTACAGTTGATCTAAAACAAATTCAAACAAGTGTTGCATTTTTTGGCCCCGATACCTGGCTGTGCGGTATTGGTATCGGCCGATACTGCAAAGCCAGAGTCTGTTTGAAATTGATGTGTGTGTTAGATGAAAAACTGCAGACTACTTTGGTGTAAAATAATTTCCATCATGGCTTCATGTCAAGCTGCTGCCTACCTTTGTGAAGCAGGTGTGGTTTGTGGTTTTTTCCTTGGATGTTAGTAAGGTTAAATATTAAAGTGTGCCGTTTTTCTCCTCCTGAATAGGGTGATTGTTTAGAGGCTTTGCTCCATTCTTAGTGCTGAGATATAGGGAAAGGAAGGAGGTTTGAAAAGGAGTTTCCTCTAGGTTAGATAAGGGGGAAACATAGATAAAAAGGTCCTTATTGTGTTTAAGATCCTCACGTCCTGTCTCTGGTGTGAACGGAAAACAGTTGTCTGACATGTTTATCTGAACAGCTTTATGTCCTTTGATGAAGTGTTTCTGTTGGGAAGACTCAATGTTCGTGTGTAAGAATTCTCTACATATGCAAAGGGTGGGCAGAGACCTAGTCAGAGCTACACTGGGAGCTGTACGCAGCTGTCTCATGTAGTTCTCCTCTACAGAGTAAAATAAAACCTTTTCTTCCTTGCATATCAACTCTCAGTGCTCATTTTTACTCCACACAGGAAAAAAACTAAAACAAAGTGAATCCAGTAGAACTTTTTATTACCTACCTGGAACGGGTGACAATAGTTGAAGAAACTTTTGGTCGGGAGCGTGCACGAAGTAGATACAGCTGATCAGTTCACTCCGCCTCAATTCCAACCGACTAGACGTGAAAATTTAGATGTGTTATGTTTATGAAAGATGGCTGTTGTTATTTTATTCTTCACCTAACGTTATAGCAGAATATCGCCAGTGATCTTGATTTAAAAAACTAAAAACACGAGCGTTTGCTTTAAAACAGGAAGCTGACAGCAATGTTTACTCCTTTCTCTGAAAGCAAACGGCTCCTCGTTCGTTTCAACACGTTCCTTAAAAATTCTCTCGTTTCACGGTGTCTAAAAGTTCTCATCTCGTTGAAAACTGTTGTAAACCATATTCTTGTCATAAAAATGAAATAGTAAAGGGAATTTACTGCAAAAAATCCAGTCTGGATCAAAGAGGAGAGGAGAGGCGGACCTACTGGAGCCTGGTGTCGAAGGATGGCTCACCTTGGCGGTGTAGCTGATCTGAGGGTTGTCGATGTGAACCACAGCGCTGGTCCAGCGAGGCAGAGGCAGCGCAGCGTCGTGCTGGTTCTGGTTCTGACCCACAGCGCCTCTGCTAGAGTACAGCTTCCACTCCAAGACCACCGACTGGGCATGGACCACCTGGACAGAGAACAGCAGGAGCCACATGACTGTCCTGCTGGGAGGAGGCAGAGGAATTAACTCAGGATCCGGGACTGGATCGGTACCTTAGCCAGAACCACCAGAGAGGCTGCAGAGCTGGAGGAGTTCCCGGCCCACAGCCTCCGCTTGCTGCTCCCTCCTTCAGACCCTAGAAAGTCCACGGAGACGCTCCTGGTGTCTGCGCCCTCCACGTTCCAGGCCACACAGGTGTACACACCTGAGGAGAGACGGCATTAGAGCAGAACAACGGCGGCGCTGAAGGTAGAACCCAGGAGGACACGGACCTGCGTCTGAAGGCTCCGCTTTTTCAATCACTAAAGCTCCCGGCTCAAACATGTGATGTTTCTTCCTCTTCTCCTTCTTTATCCTGCCCAGGCCCCGCCCCTCCTCCGATATGATTGGTGCAGCCACAGCTTCGGAGCTCACCTTAACAGGAAGAGTTTAAACTGTTTCAGAACGACAGATATTAAAGAGTTCAGATTGGAATCAGATCAGGTACTCAGATCAAATGATGTTTGGAGTTTGACTAGGCCAGCGCAGCAAAGAGATTCTTTTCTCTGCTCTGCTAACCTTAATCCTGCAGTCATCTTTAGCTGCTGTAGCTACCAGACCCGCTTCCTCCCAGCGACGTTACGCTACATGATTGGCTGAATGTTGTCACAAGATGTAAAGCATTGTGGAAAACATTGTAAAACATCTGTAGCGTTAGCGTGTCTAATGACCGATGAAGTTTTACCTGATCAAATAACAAAACTGAAAAAAATGGTGAACAAAGTCACTGTTAGACCCTGATATAAAGAGCTGGGTAGCGCTGTGGCTAGCTGGGCTCAGTAGCTAACAGGTTAGCCTCTTTTAGCTCAGTCAGTTAGCCACATTAAGCTACACTAATTTTAAATCCGTGTCAACGACAACCGTTTGTTTTCTACAAGTAGAATAACTGTTTTATTTGTCTAAATTCTCCATAAAAGTCATTTTTAAGTTGTTCCATTTGTCCTCTTCTGACCACAGATCTTAATAAGAATAAAAATAAGCTAAGACTTTTAGTGTCACCTTGTTATATGGCAAAGCTCAGTCTGACATCATGCTACGTTCAGACCAAACGCCACAGAAGCAGCAGAAGCAGCTAGTTTCCATGCAAAGTCAATGGTTGACACGCATCAAGGTGCAGTAAAAGGTCCTGCAGCCAGTTATGAGCATGTGATGCACGAAAGTTGGACTTTCTCACTTCAAAAATGATTCAAACTACCCACTGATCACAGCAAATATAGCAGCCATTGTCCAGGCAAAGGAAGGATAGGGTAGCTCCGCCCACCGCGCATCAGACCCCTTTTAACACCGCGCAGTTAGAGCAGCAGAGATGCTTCAGCCGCGCGTCAGAAATAAAGCAGCATGCGCTGCTCCTGCAGCTGGCGGCGCTTCCCTTCCAGACTGACAATGATTGTTTTTTACTTTCGGCTCCTTTAGATCGCTGATGAAACGTAAAATAATAGCAAATACAGGGAATAATATTTTCAGAATAACAGAGAGTAGAATTCAACTTTATTGTCATTCCACTGTCGCAAGTACAGAGCATCGAAATTCACTCCTTGCATTTAACCCCTCCCCTTTGGGGAGCAGTGGGCTGCCATTGTGCGGCGGCCGGGGAGCAGTGTGGGTTTAAAGGCCTGGTTATCTTCCTGCAGCAGTGTGTCACAGTGAGCTTGTTGCAGATATTTTTGATTTCTGACCATATTGAAGCGTGGACTGTGCTATGTTATTCCACGCCACAATGCCAGAGGGCCAATCAGGAACTAGCTGTGGGTCTAGATACGGCCGAGGCGGTGAGGAAGTGGGGGCAAGTTTGTGCGACAACGGAGGGACATGAGGGCCAAAAAGAGCGGGGATGCAGGTGGAAAAAGGGTCCAGCGTTCTCTCGCACCTCGCTCTGCTAGCTGCTCCATCTTCACCAGTCGTTTTCCACAATGGCGGTCAGACAAAGAAAACAAGCCGGTAAGGAACCAAACAGGAAATACGCATAGAGTAGAATGGACGTAGATTTGACCAATCAGAGGCCTCCTGTCTGCGATCACCTACAATTTTGGTGACCACGGGGCATCTTTCCGTTCACTGCGACAAACACGCAGACGACCTACCGAAAGTACACTTTTCAGTCGCTCTTGGACATTGGATATCAATCACAGATATCTATTTCGAGTGACTTTCTTCGTAAGCACAACATTCCGGACGAGATAGCGAGACCACCCGGGTCTCCGTGGATTGTTGTCGGGTCCTGGAGAAGACGCAGGCGGAGGAGAGAGAGGAAGCAGAAGCGGGGCTGCCGGTCTGGCCTATTGCTAAGGCTACGTAAACAACCACACAAGCCGCCTCTCCCGAGCCTGTTTCTCTCCAACGCCAGATCCCTGCTGCATAAAATGGACGACCTGGATTTACACCTCACTGGAAATCGCTACGTCCGGGACTGCTGTGTGTTTATCATTACCGAAACTTGGCTTAACCCGGACATTCCAGATGCTAGCATGCAGCTAGCCAGCCGCACTCTGCTACGCGCGGACAGAACAATGGACTCCGGTAAGAGCAGAGGAGGGGGGCTTTGTATGTATGTGCATGACAACTGGTGCAACAACGGAACCATCATAGACAGCCACTGTTGTCCGGACCTCGAGTACATGATTGTTAGGTGCCGGCCTTTTTTCCTCCCGAGAGAGCTGACCGTAGTTATCGTCACGGCTGTTTACATCCCACCCGACGCCGATGTAAGCGCGGCACTCTCTCTCCTGCTGAACGCGGTGAGCGAACAACAACGAGCTCACCCCGACGGCTTTCACATCATAGCGGGGGATTTTAATAAGGCCAACCTAAAGTCTGTACTACCAAATTTCCATCAGCACGTGAAATGTGCCACGCGAGGCGAGAACACCTTGGACCACGTCTACACCAGCATCAGGCATGCTTACAGAGCCGTCCCCCTCCCCCATCTGGGAAAATCGGACCATCTGTCCCTACTGCTCTTTCCGGCCTACACCCCCCTCAGACGCAGAATCAGGCCCACCGTAAGGACCATCACCACCTGGCCTGAAGATGCACTTCACAAACTCAAAGACTGTTTTCAACGGACAAACTGGGACCTGTTCGAACACCAGGAGCTGGGAGCACACACAGACACAGTACTGGACTACATCCACTTCTGCACCAGTAATGTGACTGTGACCAAAACTATCCGGGTCTTCCCCAACCAGAAGCCCTGGATGACCAGTCAGGTCCGCTCCCTTCTTAGAGCCCGTGACGCCGCCTTCAGGTCAGGAGACAGAGCTCTGTATAGTGCTGCCAGAGCTGAGCTGAAGAGAGGGGTCAAAGAGGCTAAAGCAGACCACAGACAACGGCTGGAGTCCCAACTGTCCAGTAACAATACCCGTAAGGTGTGGCAGGGCATCCAGGAGATCACCAACTTCAGGGGCAGCGTCGTTCAAACTGAACAACAGGGCGCACAGCTGTCAGAGGAGCTAAACAGCTTCTTTGCTCGGTTTGGAGAATCCCAGCGGCCCTCCCCTGTCCCTGCCCTGTCCCCTCCCCCACCCAGCGCTGACACCCCCCCACTCACTGTCCAGGAGCACAACGTCAGGAAGGTGCTACTGGCAGTGAACCCCAGGAAGGCCGCAGGCCCAGACGGAGTCCCTGGCAAGGTGCTAAAGGCATGCGCGGGCGAGCTCGCCCCCACCTTCACCAGGCTCTTCAACCTGTCCTTGGCCCAAGCCACCGTTCCGTCCCGCCTGAAAACCTCCACCATCATCCCAGTGCCGAAGAAGTCTGCCATCACCAGCCTGAATGATTACCGCCCAGTGGCCCTCACTCCGGTAATCATGAAGTGCTTTGAGAAGCTGGTTCTTCAGCACATCAAGGACTGTCTCCCCCCACACCTGGATCCCCAACAGTTTGCATACCGGGCCAACCGATCCACAGAGGACGCCGTTGCCGTGGCTCTCCACTCTGCTGTGAACCGCCTGGAGCAGCAGCAGAGCTACGTCCGGATGCTCTTTGTGGATTACAGCTCGGCCTTTAACACCATCCTCCCGGACAGACTCATCATCAAACTGGGCTCCCTTGGACTCCCCCCTCTCACATGTGCCTGGATTAACAACTTCCTGACCGACCGACCCCAGGCTGTGAGAGTTGGCCCCCACCTCTCCTCCACCCGCACGCTGAGCATCGGCTCCCCACAGGGCTGTGTGCTGAGCCCCCTCCTCTTCTGCCTCTACACCCACGATTGCAGACCGATCCACAACCACAACCAGATCATCAAGTACGCCGACGATACCGCTGTGGTCGGTCTCATCTCCAGGGGCGACGAGGCCGCCTACAGAGAGGAGGTCCTGAAGCTGGCTGATTGGTGCTCAGAGAACAATCTGACTCTGAACACCAAGAAAACCAACGAGCTCATCATAGACTTCAGGAGGCACAGCCCTGAGCCAGCTCCCCTCTTCATCAACGGCGAGCAGGTGGAGAGGGTTCACAGCGTCAAATACCTCGGCGTCCACATCTCTGACCGCATCACCTGGTCAGAGAACATCACCACCATCATCAAGAAGGCCCGGCAAAGGTTACACTTCCTGAGAATCCTCAGAAGGTATAACCTCAACTCTGATCTGCTGCTGGCCTTCTACCGCTCCTCCATCGAGAGCTTGCTGACCTACTGCATCATAGTATGGTTCGGCAGCTCCACCGCTGCCGACAGGGAGAGGCTGCAGAGGGTGATAAAGGCGGCGCAGAGGATTATCGGTCGCCCTCTCCCCTCCCTGGCAGACATTTACTCCACCCGGTGCCTCAGCAGAGCCAGGGCCATCTCCAAGGACAGCTCCCACCCTGGCTCCACCCTGTTTGACCTGTTGCCCTCTGGAAGGCGCTACAGGCAAATGAGGATCAGGACAAACAGACTCAAGAACAGTTTCTTCCCCCGAGCCATTGCCGCCCTCAACTCCGACCTGCACTGACGGACACTTTTCACCTGGTTTGCATTATTCCCCAAGCCATTGCCCCCCCTCAACTCCGACCTGCACTGACGGACACTTTTCACCTGGTTTGCATTATTCCCCAAGCCATTGCCCCCCCTCAACTCCGACCTGCACTGTCGGTCACTTTACACCTGTTTTGCACTATCCCCCCCCCACAATCTGTGCCAGTACTGTTTTACATTTCCTTTTCACTGTTTACATTTCCTTTTCACTGTTTACATTTCCTTTTAATATATTTATATATATTTTTTGTAACTGTTTACATTTCCTTTCCTTTTAATATATCTATATATTTTTTATATATTTTTATTTTATTTTTATTTCACGGTAGCTGTTATGGAAGTCCCAAATCTCATTGTATTTGTCACAGAATATAATGACAATAAAGGCTTTTTGACTTTTGACTTTGACTTTGATAAATCAGCCTTAAGCGTCTTGCTCAGGGCCCCGAGCAGATCAGGGTCTGAGGTGGACTCTCTGGCTTTACTTCTGGAAAGGTTGGCAGCTGTCTGAAAAGCTATAGATGCTAATGACCAATGATGTTAATAACTAAAAATTATAATGGCTACAGAAGCTAATAAGTACAGATGCTAATGACAACAGATGCTAATGGCTAAAGACTCTTATAACTATCGACCCTTTTAACTAGCCTCGTGAGACCATCCTGATCTCGCGAGCTTTCAAGGTTTCACTCGCTAATCAGTCTGGAGACTCTCCGTTAAAGAAAATTTGGAGCCGTTCACCAAACGAACGTCCAATCAGCGTTGGCTTTGAGGCGGGTTGAGGTGTGACGCAACGAGAAGCGCGACAGTTCAGTCTAAAGAACATGGCGGCTTCAGCCGATGAAACTAGCGTTAGCGTGGCTATCGAGCAAGTTTTATGGGAATTACAGAGTATTTCTGCACTGAAAGAAGAGCAAAACACTGCTCTGGAGGCTTTTCTCAGAGGAAAAGATGTTTTTGCTCTTCTCCCGACTGGTTTCGGCAAGAGTAGCCTGGCTTGTGGGTGTGTTTTCGCCGTCGCTCTGTTAGTACGTCATATGCTTCGTTGATCTGATTGGTTTATTTGGCCCGTCTATCACCAACATAGGCCAATCAGCTAACCAGTATTTTCGCCCCTCCCCAAAATTACTTCAACGGAAGGTTGCCAGATGATTATGCGGAGCAAATCCATTTGGCGGAGTCAGGTGCAGCTTTTAACTGCAGAAATGGACAAAATGCCTCAGTTGATGAACAGGTTCTGAGTTCATGCAGCAGAACATCGGTGAATGATTGCGAGCCGATGCCTGTTAGGAGAACAGTGGGCGGAACAAAACGTGGAACTTATGCTAGGATTGGTTTGCAGGAAAGTGTCAATCAATCAATCAGTGAGGAACAAGAGGAACAATTATCTTATTCTATCACTTCACTGCATGTCTGCTTAGTTCAGCTCCAAACGGCCCCCTCCAACCTGACACGCCTCCACCCACCTTGTCTCCAGTCGGTGTGACCCAGTAGAACTGGGGGGCGGGGTCAGCGTCAGCCCAGCACTCCAGCGTGATTGGTCGTCCCGCGCTGACGTTAACATTCGGCGGAAAGGTGTGAGGAGAGATGTGAGGTAAGCAGCTGTTGGCTCCGCCCCCACCCCATCCCGCTGCCACCACTTCCTGCAATTCCCGGCCAATCAGGTGCTGGGGGGAGGAGCAGACGGTCATGGAAGGCTCCAGCAGCTTGAGGTGTGACTGGTTGCCGAGGTGAGGCCCCCACGAGGAGAGGCAGTCGCACCGCAGAGGGTTGGAGCGCAGAGAGAGCTCCTCCAAGGACGGCAGCGCGGAGAGGACGTCCCCGGAGAGGAGGCTCAGCTGGTTGTTTAGGAGGAGGAGAGTCCGCAGGGAGGGGAGGTCTCTGGGGGGAGTCAAACAATCTCAGAGTGATTACATCTTAAAGCCTGGAACCGTCTGAACGTAACGAAAACATCTGTCAGCTGATTCAGATGTTTGCTAACAGATCTTCTCTGAAAAGGTTCTTGAGGATCACCTGAAGGCCTGCGGGTCAATGTAGGACAGCCGAGGATTGTTACACAGCTCCAGTTTGGTCATCTGTGGAAGGTTCTGGAAAGCTGCTCGTTCCACCATCACCAGATCCTCCATGTTGTTCAGACTGAACACAAAGAAACCAGAACAGATTTCACTTCTATTCAGTTTATTTCTATAGCTCCAATTCACATCATGTCATCTCAGGTCACTTTCCAGTTCACCAGATCATCCAGTCAGATTGATTCAAAGTTTTCTATCTAAGGAAAACCAGCTGATTGCATCGACTCATTGACTCTTCAGCAATCCCTCACACTAAGCATGCTTGTAGCGACAGTGGAGAGGAAAAACTCCGTTTAACAGGAAGAAACCTCCAGCAGAACCAGGCTCAGTGTGAGCGGCCATCTGCTGAGGCCCACTGGGGTTCAAGGAGACAGAAGCAGACATAGAAAAGAAGCATAGATACAAAAGGCAACTGTCAACCAGCTCCACAGGCGGCCCCGTCCAGGAAACACACAGCCAGGCAGACGAGCTCCGAGCCAGCTCCCATGTCAGAGGATGAAGAGAGCACATCCAGTTAGTCACAGTCAGAGAAACAGGACTACACTGGAAAACAGGCCAAGCTCCAACATCTAGAAACAAAGGTGTTGATGGCAGCAGCACAGCTGATATTTCTCAAGTTGGCGATCCAACGACCAACCCGTCCATGGAGGATCAGGAATCAGAAAGGTGGAATAACTTTTTTTCACTTTTCCCCGATGTATTCCAGCATCCAGCTGCCATGCACGTGGGCATTGTCAGTTTCACTATAGCTCTGGTGAATTTCAATGGTGAAGTCCTCTGGAAATCTTCAATAATTGTTGTTGATTGCAGATGTGTCTAGTAGTTCCCATTGATTTAGCTTGGAAAGCGGGGAGAATGGCGCTAGGCTTACCGCACCGTGACGTCACTGCTGGAAGATGTCGGGAGGGAGGGGCTACTGTATTTGGGCAAAAATGGCCGCTCCCAGACTCGGTGATTGTGATGAATATTGTTATAGTTTTAGGTATGAATAATGATCCATTGATTATATAAGATGTATTTTTTCCGGGTGGATCATCTACATCAGTGGTCCTCCTAACTGTCAATCATTCTGGTGATATGTTTGTGTAAGGCAGTCCGACGTGCTCATCCCCATTTTCACTGACCGGTGGTGAGTCTGACATGGTGGAAAAATTGCAAAATCTTCTTTTAGAAAGTTAGCTTGTATGAGCGATGCAAACAGCAACTTTTAAACAGAGCGTGCACGAGGAGAAATGGGTTCGTGCACGCTCGTTCCCTCTACAGGGTTGTGCATGTGCATTTTTTTTCAAAGTGGAGAGGGCGGGTCTTTTAAAAAAATTGTGAAAATCCTCCACTATACAGTAGCAGCCATTCAAAATATCCCTTCCCAGTCAAATGCCTGCCGAATGGCAGCAAACTCCCAGCCATAGGTGTGACCCCCCTCTTGCATATTTTCTTACTCTGACTCCACCCCTTCACTGAATTACAGGGTCTGACCAGGAGATGGCGCTTCTCTTTGGATCTTAATGTCCACTAATCATGACATATCAAAGAAATAATATTGTCGTACAAAGATTGATGCTTAAAAATGAATCTTATGGGACCAGCCAAGGACCCATGAAGGAAAGTGGGGCCATTTTGAACGGCTACTACTGTACCTTTAAGAATCAATGACATTTGTTTGGTTCTGAGCCTAACCTGAGCTCCTCCAGGTGCTGAAGGTTTTCAAAATCCCCTCGTTGGATCCGGCTGATTGGATTCCTGTTCAGGTCCAAGAACTTGAGGTTGGGAAGCTCACTGAGGGCGTCCCGAGGTACGGACCTGGAGAAACATCAGAAACATGGAGAAAACAGGCTCGGATGAACTGGCTGCTGGGCAGCATCAAATATGGCCGCTATCTTGTTTATGTTTACTTATGTTTATGCCTTTAGCAGACACTTTTAACCAAAGTGACTTATGTTCCAGTTATCATCAATATGACCATAAGTTCTCTGGAGGAAAGTCCAGATTCAGAATACCAGATCTGCTCATGGCTCCACCCTTTTTTATGACGTCATATATGGCAACTCCATTTGGACAAACTGTATGGCACCCGTTTCTTAAAGTCGTAGGGAAACGGCGGTTCCAACCGTTGCGTATATTAGCTGCAACGTATGAATCAAGATGCTATGACCGAAAAGATTGGATTGACAGATGACCGTTGATATATGATTGGCCGAATTTAGGTGTTCAGGCTGACGTAGAACTAACTGCCCTGCAGAAGATAACGAAAAAACAGAGATTTTAAGACAAGATTTCTTTTTTTTTTAAATAGAAATTTTCTAAATTTTGGGACCATATAGTCTGATAAAGAGAACATTTATATACATGTTTAACCCAGAATGATTTGACATTTAAATATGATTTCCCTACGACTTTAAGGGTTAAAATGCAGAGTTAATTTCTCCATAAAGTTCAATTTCAATTTCTAATAAATCAGCTTTGGGCAGATATGTGAGGAGACAAAAATGATATCTAAATAAATAATGTGTAATTACAGCTTATACATTTAAATTATTTATTTCTAGTCACTATTTTATCATTTATACTCCTCTGTAATATATCTATTTCACTTGATCAATATGTTCTTATAAACGTGCTTTGATAGATTAGAAGAAACAGGTTTTGTTTTGCAAAATACATATAGATCTATCAGAATATGTTTACATTTAAACTTTATTAAAAATATTTAAATAAACCTGCGCCATATGTTCTGATGTGTAGCTGAACTTTAGTGTTCGGCGAGTTATTCTGATGCTGCACTGGTCAAAAAGGTTTACACTAAGGGAAGTAGGTGACCTTCCCAAGATGGCAGCCGTACAGCCCAACGGAGCAGCGAGGCGTCTGCTCTTTATCTACGTCTACCCACCGTAGCTTGTTGTCAAAGAAGGAGAGGCTCTCCAGGTAGTCGAGCCCGACGAAGGCAGCCGACGGGACAGAAACCAGACCCATTCGGGCCAGAACCAGGCTATGGAGGCGAGACAGAGGCAGGAAGTTCTTCTCCTCCAGACCGAGGATGGGATTCTCGCCGATCATCAGGATCTCCAGGGAGGGCAGGGACTCGAACCAGCGGCTGTCGATGGCCACCAGCCGGTTGGAGTTCAGGTGAAGCCTGAGGGAGGAAAAACCACAAAAGAACCCGTTAGAACTTTCCAAGATGGTTCCTCTGTTTCAGGAACTCCGGTTCGTGACGCGCTCGTCTCTGGTGGGTGGGGGTACCTGAGCAGGTTGGTGAGACCATCGAAGGCTTTGGGTCCAATGGAGGAGATGTGGTTGTGGTTGATGTAGAGCTCCTCCAGGCTGGTAAGGTTCTTCAGACCAAAGTCCTCCAACTCCTGGATGTGGTTCTCCTCCACATACAGGGTGACCAGATGGACCAGAGAGGAGAGGCCCATGGAGCTCACCTGAACAGAGCCACAAACCGTGTGAGCGTGGAGCCGACAGGAAGCACAGCTTTAGATCAGGGTCTGGTTTTACCTGAGAGAAGTGGTTCTGGGACAGGTCCAGTTCCGTCAGGTTCCCCATGTTCTGCAGCTCAGTGCTGATGGAGGAGATGTTGTTGCTCTGCAGCAGCAGGACCTGGACCACACACAGGTTCACAGAGACGTTAGAAACGGACTCCAAACGGGTCTCCGTCTGGATCCGGGTGGAGCCAGAATCACCTGAGTGTCTGTGGAGATTTTGGCTGGAACTCTGTCCAGGTGGAGCTCGTTGCAGTCCACCGTCCGGGCCTGGTGGTACACGGACTGAGAGGTGTACCAGGGTCGGGTCTCACACACGCACTGCAGCGGGCACGACACGGCGCCCCCTACAGGACACACAGAGGTTACCCACAATGCACCTCACCACCAACAAACGCTGAGCTCTCATCTACCTGGACCGGCCACGCCCACAGCAGCACACAGCGACGTCCCGAGGCAGAGAAGAAGGATGGAGAAGACTGCAGATCCCATGATGCACTGGGGCTGAAGATGGAGATGATCTGAGAAGTTTAACGAGTCAGAGGCAATTTTGGATCAGTACCATTGACACCACCAGAACCAATAAGAACCTTCCAGAACCCTCCCAGACCCACTCAGAACCAGTCCAGAACCACTCAGAACCCTACCAGGCCCATTCAGAACCAGTCCAGAACCAGTCCAGACGCACTCAGAACCCTACCAGGCCCATTCAGAACCAGTCCAGAACCACTCAGAACCCTCCCAGACACATTCAGAACCAGTCCAGAACCACTCAGAACCTTTCAGAACCAGTCCAGACCCATTCAGAACCCTACCAGACCCATTCAGAACCAGTCCAGAACCACTCAGAACCAGTCCAGACCAACTCAGAACCCTCCCAGACCCATTCAGAACCAGTCCAGAACCACTCAGAACCAGTCCAGACCAACTCAGAACCCTACCAGACCCATGCAGAACCAGTCCAGAACCACTCAGAACCAGTCCAGACCAACTCAGAACCCTACCAGACCCATGCAGAACCAGTCCAGAACCACTCAGAACCCTCCCAGACACATTCAGAACCGGTTCCAGGACCACTCAGAACCAGTCCAGACCAACTCAGAACCCTCCCAGACACATTCAGAACCAGTCCAGAACAACTCAGAACCAGTCCAGACCAACTCAGAACCCTCCCAGACACATTCAGAACCAGTCCAGAACAACTCAGAACCAGTCCAGACCAACTCAGAACCCTACCAGACCCATGCAGAACCAGTCCAGACCAACTCAGAACCCTCCCGGACACATCCAGAACCAGTCCAGAACCACTCAGAACCAGTCCAGACCAACTCAGAACCCTACCAGACCCATGCAGAACCAGTCCAGAACCACTCAGAACCCTCCCAGACACATTCAGAACCAGTCCAGAACCACTCAGAACCTTTCAGAACCAGTCCAGACCCACTCAGAACCCTACCAGACCCATTCAGAACCAGTCCAGAACCACTCAGAACCTTTCAGAACCAGTCCAGACCCACTCAGAACCCTACCAGACCCATTCAGAACCAGTCCAGAACCACTCAAAACCAGGCCAGCCCAGAACCAGCACAGACCCATTCAGAACCCTCTCAGAACCACAGCTACGGCACATCAGGGCTGATTCAGATAGAGGAAGAGTGACTGTTTCCGTCTGGTTTCGGGTCAGTCCGTTACAGCACCAGAACCAGGCCAGTTCTGTGTGAACGGTCCCCAACAGGCAGCGCTCAGACTGAGGTCAGACAGCCGTGATGCTGCTGCCTCATATCTCTCTCTCTCTCTTATGCTGGGCAGCGCTGGTTAAAAACGGGGACACCTTCCCTCTGCTGCCATGGCAACCAGCCAGGAAGTGACATCACAGGGCCAAGCAGCAGAACGACCTCTAATCTGCTCTGCAGCTTCTCTTCTTTTAAAACCCCAAACTCCCAACAGTCTGACAGAGCCAGCTTGATTCCTGGGAAGTGTTTTGGATCGGGAGGTTCTGGAGGTCCGACGGAGTTCTGGACCAGGTCGGGTTAAACATCAGACAGATCCTGTTAGAAAAGCTCCCAGTAGAACAGAAGACTCCGTGATGCATTCAAGGACAGTTTAGAAATTAGCTGAACAGTCTGAAGCTGCTTCAGAGGAAGCAGGTCCTGATGGGGGAGGTGTGATGGAGCAGGACCGGACCTTCTGTGGCAGGACCGGAACCTTCTCTAGCAGGACCGGACCTTCTGTGGCAGGACCGGAACCTTCTCTAGCAGGACCGGAACCTTCTCTAGCAGGACCGGACCTTCTGTGGTAGGACCGGACCTTATCTGGCAGGACCGGACCTTCTCTAGCAGGACCGGACCTTCTCTAGCAGGACCGGACCTTCTGTGGCAGGACCGGACCTTCTCTAGCAGGACCGGAACCTTCTCTGGCAGGACCGGACCTTCTCTAGCAGGACCGGAACCTTCTCTAGCAGGACCGGACCTTCTCTAGCAGGACCGGACCTTCTCTAGCAGGACCGGAACCTTCTCTAGTAGGACCGGACCTTCTCTAGCAGGACCGGACCTTCTCTAGCAGGACCGGAACCTTCTCTAGTAGGACCGGACCTTCTCTAGCAGGACCGGACCTTCTCTAGCAGGACCGGAACCTTCTCTAGTAGGACCGGACCTTCTCTAGCAGGACCGGAACCTTCTCTAGCAGGACCGGACCTTCTCTGGCAGGACCGGACCTTCTCTAGCAGGATCGGACCTTCTCTAGCAGGACCGGAACCTTCTCTAGCAGGACCGGAACCTTCTCTAGCAGGACCGGACCTTCTCTAGCAGGACCGGAACCTTCTCTAGCAGGACCGGACCTTCTCTAGCAGGACCGGACCTTCTCTAGCAGGACCGGAACCTTCTCTGGCAGGACCGGACCTTCTCTAGCAGGACCGGACCTTCTCTAGCAGGACCGGACCTTCTCTAGCAGGACCGGAACCTTCTCTGGCAGGACCGGACCTTCTCTAGCCGGACCGGACCTTCTCTAGCCGGACCGGACCTTCTCTAGCAGGACCGGACCTTCTCTGGCAGGACCGGACCTTCTCTAGCAGGACCGGACCTTCTCTGGCAGGACCGGACCTTCTCTAGCAGGACCGGACCTTCTCTGGCAGGACCGGAACCTTCTCTGGCAGGACCGGACCTTCTCTGGCAGGACCGGACCTTCTCTAGCAGGACCGGACCTTCTCTGGCAGGACCGGAACCTTCTCTGGCAGGACCGGACCTTCTCTGGCAGGACCGGACCTTCTCTGGCAGGACCGGACCTTCTCTGGCAGGACCGGACCTTCTCTGGCAGGACCGGACCTTCTCTGGCAGGACCGGACCTTCTCTGGCAGGACCGGACCTTCTCTAGCAGGACCGGACCTTCTCTAGCAGGACCGGAACCTTCTCTGGCAGGACCGGACCTTCTCTGGCAGGACCGGACCTTCTCTGGCAGGACCGGACCTTCTCTAGCAGGACCGGACCTTCTCTAGCCGGACCGGACCTTCTCTGGCAGGACCGGACCTTCTCTGGCAGGACCGGACCTTCTCTAGCAGGACCGGACCTTCTCTAGCAGGACCGGAACCTTCTCTGGCAGGACCGGACCTTCTCTGGCAGGACCGGACCTTCTCTGGCAGGACCGGACCTTCTCTGGCAGGACCGGACCTTCTCTGGCAGGACCGGACCTTCTCTAGCAGGACCGGACCTTCTCTGGCAGGACCGGACCTTCTCTGGCAGGACCGGACCTTCTCTGGCAGGACCGGACCTTCTCTAGCAGGACCGGACCTTCTCTGGCAGGACCGGACCTTCTCTAGCAGGACCGGAACCTTCTCTGGCAGGACCGGACCTTCTCTGGCAGGACCGGACCTTCTCTAGTAGGACCGGACCTTCTCTAGCAGGACCGGACCTTCTCTAGCAGGACCGGAACCTTCTCTAGTAGGACCGGACCTTCTCTAGCAGGACCGGAACCTTCTCTAGCAGGACCGGACCTTCTCTGGCAGGACCGGACCCTTCTCTAGCAGGACCGGACCTTCTCTAGCAGGACCGGAACCTTCTCTAGCAGGACCGGAACCTTCTCTGGCAGGACCGGACCTTCTCTAGCAGGACCGGATCTTCTCTAGCAGGACCGGAACCTTCTCTAGCAGGACCGGAACCTTCTCTAGCAGGACCGGACCTTCTCTAGCAGGACCGGAACCTTCTCTAGCAGGACCGGACCTTCTCTAGCAGGACCGGACCTTCTCTAGCAGGACCGGACCTTCTCTAGCAGGACCGGAACCTTCTCTGGCAGGACCGGACCTTCTCTAGCAGGACCGGACCTTCTCTAGCAGGACCGGACCTTCTCTAGCAGGACCGGACCTTCTCTGGCAGGACCGGACCTTCTCTAGCAGGACCGGAACCTTCTCTGGCAGGACCGGACCTTCTCTAGCCGGACCGGACCTTCTCTAGCAGGACCGGACCTTCTCTGGCAGGACCGGACCTTCTCTAGCAGGACCGGACCTTCTCTGGCAGGACCGGACCTTCTCTAGCAGGACCGGAACCTTCTCTGGCAGGACCGGACCTTCTCTAGCCGGACCGGACCTTCTCTAGCAGGACCGGACCTTCTCTGGCAGGACCGGACCTTCTCTAGCAGGACCGGACCTTCTCTGGCAGGACCGGACCTTCTCTAGCAGGACCGGAACCTTCTCTGGCAGGACCGGACCTTCTCTAGCAGGACCGGACCTTCTCTAGCAGGACCGGAACCTTCTCTGGCAGGACCGGACCTTCTCTAGCAGGACCGGACCTTCTCTGGCAGGACCGGAACCTTCTCTGGCAGGACCGGACCTTCTCTAGCAGGACCGGACCTTCTCTGGCAGGACCGGACCTTCTCTGGCAGGACCGGACCTTCTCTGGCAGGACCGGACCTTCTCTAGCAGGACCGGACCTTCTCTGGCAGGACCGGACCTTCTCTGGCAGGACCGGACCTTCTCTGGCAGGACGGACCTTCTCTGGCAGGACCGGACCTTCTCTGGCAGGACCGGAACCTTCTCTGGCAGGACCGGACCTTCTCTAGCAGGACCGGACCTTCTCTGGCAGGACCGGAACCTTCTCTGGCAGGACCGGACCTTCTCTAGCAGGACCGGACCTTCTCTGGCAGGACCGGACCTTCTCTGGCAGGACCGGACCTTCTCTGGCAGGACCGGACCTTCTCTGGCAGGACCGGACCTTCTCTAGCAGGACCGGACCTTCTCTAGCAGGACCGGACCTTCTCTAGCAGGACCGGACCTTCTCTGGCAGGACCGGACCTTCTCTGGCAGGACCGGACCTTCTCTAGCAGGACCGGACCTTCTCTAGCAGGACCCCGGACCTTCTCTAGCAGGACCCCGGACCTTCTCTGGCAGGACCGGACCTTCTCTAGCAGGACCGGACCTTCTCTAGCAGGACCGGAACCTTCTCTGGCAGGACCGGACCTTCTCTGGCAGGACCGGACCTTCTCTGGCAGGACCGGACCTTCTCTAGCAGGACCGGACCTTCTCTGGCAGGACCGGACCTTCTCTGGCAGGACCGGACCTTCTCTGGCAGGACCGGACCTTCTCTGGCAGGACCGGAC